GACCTTCAAAGTATTCTTGTTCCTTTTTTCTTCTTAATCCTTTTCTTGTTTAACTCGAGGTCCAGTTCTTGTGCAGGTATTAAAAAACTGGAAAGTCATTTGATCACCTCTAGGCTTATCTTAGAAAGTAAATACAAGTGCATCTTGATATTCCTCTGTGTATGCAGATTCTCATAGTTGAAGAAAATTTCTACCATGATAACTAATTTCATGTGGAATGCCATGAGGGGTCTTACATTACTTTGTACCAACAGATTATAATTATGTAGGGCACCTATAGTTTTGACCTGTCTTTAAAGAAACAACTAATTGACATCTACTTCACAGAAACCAGGTTTAAAATATCTATTAAATAAATATGAAAATATCTAAATGCCTTGCAAGCATTTTAAGCCCATTTTTGGGTTATATTTGAAGAATTAAATTGCTGATTTTTATTTCTTAACCAGCCTTAGAAATAACCACTGGCTTATATGTCCTTGAATACTACATACTCTGTAAGTACCCCTGCTTGATTAAGCTATTTTTAGTATTTTACATTTACTATGAAAATAGTGGGACTTTTTTAAAAATATGGTAATATCTCCAGAAGAGGAAAATTCTATTATCAAAATACCTCACCATCCCCAAGTTTTACTTAGAGAAACAGTTGTTTCTCACCTACTTCCATGCTTAAATTGCTGTGATTTTTAAGATGTCACATCTGAGAAAATGTGAGAACTTGTTAGGAAGAATTCTTGATTCAGCAGTTGTTAGTTCAAGAGGCTCTTGGGAGGTAATAGAATTCACTAGCTGCATCTGCCAAGATAAAGGTACAAATCACAACATTTGGGAAATATGGCAATAACTGAACACACAAGGATGATATTAATTTTATGTGCTCATTTTTAATAGGCTGATTAGGCAGATGTTTTTGCATGGGAAAAGCAGCACATTCTGTCCCAGTCCTCCTAGGCTGCCAAGTTAGAATACCAGTGTGTTAATTTGAGAGTTCAAGTCCATAGCTACATTAATGTCTGAAATTTGATCACTTTAAGCTGACATGTAAGCAGATAGGTTTGCTTGCTTTGTAAGAGAGGTTTGTCCTGAAACATGTATCTTCACAATAGAGATGATGTCGTCAGTAGATCTGGAATGTTTAAAATGTTTTAGGTCTGATCTGATGCCATCAATTCATTTTTTCATTCCACAGTGCCAACTTAGGCACAGCTAGCTTTTGCTTTAGTAATTCCTTTTTTTCTGTTCTAATTTACCAGTGTCTGTTTTGCCTGACTTACATATCAGGTAAGTTGATAAGCAAGATACACTGATGGGTATTATGTGGCTAGGGGTAATTCTGTTCTTAAAAAGGTGTCTTAACTGATTTGCAGTGGTTCATCTCAAAAGTAAATTCTGAAGGCTGTCAAATATTTGGAATTTTTTAAGTTTTGGGAGGAAGTCTCACGGAACCTGTTTAGTGGTTGATTTGACTTGCCTATTGCTAAGTAATGAGTACATTCTTATTTTTAAAGTATGTTTGTTTTTCAAGTAGTTTTACTTGGTTTGAAAATCTTTACATGTACTCATTCATTGTCAAGGATGATGCTTTCATTTTGGAATGTACTCAAAATCCCAAGACCTATTTATTGAGTTTGATGTTTCCTGATAGAAAATCTGAAGCCAAAATATATGTGTATGGCATGAATTCAATTAGTCATTGAATTTTAGCTCAGTATCTATACAAGGAATTATTAATAAAATTTGTTGACAAATTCAAGGCTCTAGCATGTCTTGTTAAGTTATTAATATGAAAATTCAGTTCCTGGGAAATAAGGTCTCTAATATAAGAGACTGAGTAATTACGTTTATCATCAAGAAGTGTGACCTTAATTTTCTTCTTTACAAAATGTTGGTAATAGTGCCTGTTCAAAGGATTGTGAGGTTTAAGGCTTGGGTCATCTAGGAATGGTAGTAGACTAGATCACATTGAAGAAGATTCTAATCGGAATACTTTTAGGATATTGGAGAGAATGATGAAAGGCCTGTTCAAGTGCCTTAGATTTGAGTGTGTATTAAACTGCATGTTTACTGATTCCAGAATTTAAGTTCCTTTATAGTTATACTTTGAGATTTCTTGTATAACTTATTGCATCTACCCCACCTCCCAACACAAATACTTGCCAATTATTTGGTAGTGGAATTATCCATGAGAACACAGTTCATCATAAATTGCCATAACAATGTTCTCCCTTAAACTTTCCTGCTACTAATTTTTCTACATCTTCCACTTGAAAAAAAATGGAAGCCAACTGCAATGATTAATAATGGATAGAAAAGTTACTTCCTATAATGCATTTTAATTCTAAATGTAAAATAAATGTTTTGAAATCTCATTAAATAATTATCTCCATCTTGTGTTGGCAACACCTGCAAGGGCTTGTTTTATTAGCATATAATAAACCATGATTTTGTTAAAAGAATGTTAACAAAGTCAGTGATACCATAAACCTAATTAGTAATTGCATTAGTATTCTATTTTGTTGTTCCCTCTTCCACTAATGTTTTCATTATTGTGAGGGGGAGAAAGTACATTTTATTTTTAGCTCTTATATATGACTTGCCTGTCCCCTTCCCCCAGCACCCACTTTAGCAATGCAGGACCTCACCAATGAGTTACTTTATATCATAAAATTAAGAGGCATAGTCAGTGTTATCTCAGTAAACATTTTTAAAGGCTTATTAGACCTTAGAAGTGTCCATGCATATATCTCATCAATTTTTTGTAGTCTTTTAGGTCATAGTCTGTGGAAGCAAGTGTTTTTGAGTTCAGCCATGATTTTTCATAAGTCTGAGAAACAGCAATAGAACAAAGTCTCCCGGACTTTCTTATTTCTTCTTATAATACCATACGTGGACTTTTTTTCTTAACTTTGTTGATTACTGACGAACATACAGACAGCCTACCCTGGATACTTTAAAGTTGACAAAATCATCTGGAAAGCTACCTTTGATGTATGTTTCTGCAATACATAGCAGTTCAGATTAGTACTCATAAGTTCAGCAAGTAAACTCATTATATAAGACTTAGGATTGCAGGAGGGCATAGGTCAAGCAAGTAAAGTGACTATTGCTCGGAATATTGCTCACTCCCACTGCTACACTCTGAAGCCTACTCCTTCCTATGACAAATCTCCAAATCAGCCACTGAAGAATGTCTACACTGTTAGTTGCCAAGGTGGGCTAAAGCCAAGGAGATGCTGTGAAGTTGGAGGTTTACTTGGGGCATTAAATTTCCTTTGTTTTTGTGCTTGGGGTCCAGGGCACACAGGAAGATACAGTACCTAATGCAAATCACTTTTGAATGTGAATGAAACTTGGAGCATTTTGCTTGAGAAAAGGGAGTTATGAAGGGGGAAGTAATTTTGCTTCTAAATGAAAAAACTTTTCACAACTTTAATCAATATCTTCAATTGGACTGGTGAATTTATCAGCATGTCAGTGGGGTTTTGCTTGACTCAGGTAAAACTATGATGTAACTGATTATAAATTACAAATCTGAGTAGCAGCAGGGAAAGTGCTCTGAAGTCAGACAAATCTGGTGGCAATCCCAACTGCCACCTACAGTTGGATAAACATGAGAAGGTGACTTAGCTCTGAGTCCTATTGTTCACTGATAAAATGAAAATACTATCTCGCAACCCAAACAACAGTCAGAATTAAATGATGTGCTTTTTTTCTATAAAGAACTCAATGAATGTTAGCCCTGTCAGCCCTCACCTGTCTGGAAAGAGCATAATTCCAAAAGCAATCATGTCTCAAACACAATGACAAAGACAACAAAAAAACTTGAGATCGAGGCTTGCCTACTGAAAATTTTATGTTTTGAAGGTTCTATTTAATATTCCAAAATTGTATATCAATGGAAGAAGGGAAGGCTTGTTAATAGCAACATCAAGTGTCAATTACTTGATATATGTATACATGATATGAATTTATCTTTAATTCCTGACCTTTCCCCATGGAATTTAATAGGGTTGAATGTAAATACTTAATTGCTCCAAATTCAGATATAACCATTCAAGACTTTTAAGAATGCTGAAGATCCACTGCTAATTTTTTTAATTAAGCCCTACATTAGCAAAACTTAACAAAATGGTGTATGAGTAAAATAAAGGGACATAGTCACCCCTTAAATTCTTACCAAATAGTAACAAAAAAAAACCCTACAAATTGGAGAGAAGGAAGGAAAGGAAACTCACAAAACTCATGTAAACATAATGGCCAAAATAAAATCTTTTATCTCGGCAGGACATTTCATACTGATGTCTCAAAAACAAACAGCTTGATTTTGACAAAGCAAGCCTGTAATTGATAAAATATACCTCTAACTTGTAGTTGTACCATTAAAAATGACAGCAGCCAGTAAAAAGAATCTGGACACAGCGTAAAACTCAATAAAATTTAACAGTTGAGTGGAGTTGGCAGTAATAAAAATTATTGAACATGCTTAGCCAACTTAAAAGGATTTGTAATAATTCTGACAGCATACCAAGTTTTGTGAGGTTTATCATTGTTCTGGAATGAAATTGAAGAGTAACCTTGGCAGGAGCTACTTCATTCAAGTGAAGTGAACAAGGTGCCTGAGCATTTGAGTTGACCCACTCTTCCCTTACTAGATTTTATCCCAGCAGCTGGCTTAGGTTATCTAGGTCTAGGTGTGGTAATGTCCTAACTGCAAATAAGTGAAGACCTCAGATCTTGGTTACATAGCAAGCAGCCTAAGGTTTATGGAATCACCCTGAATAGCCCAGTTCCTATAGATGGAGACTTCTGGGAGCAGTTCAGGACCCTCTAATAAATGCCAAGGTGCATAGCTCCTGTTAACCTTGATGCGCCTATATTTTGTAGGGCTAAGATTACATAATGTAATTAGAGTCCAGCATCTTTACTATTTTTAACTTTTCTTACCTAACCTCCATTTTCCTTTGCAGCAAAATATCTTTACTCACCAAGCAAGAAAAAAACAATTTTCATGTTTTTACAATTTATTCTAAACTAATGACGTAATGAATAGGCCAAAAATGAAATATTGTATAAAGCAATAGTGATTGCATAGTTAAAACTGTAAACACTGAAATAGGTTTTTTTTGTTAAGAATTTTATTCTCATATACATTAGTTGAAATGTCTGAAGTTTGAGAAGGCTAATGTATAACTAAAAATTTCAGTTAGTGACACTGCAGGATCCGGTTAAATTAGATTAGATTGACTTTCCTATAGGAAAATAAAGGTCCCTTAACCATCATTCCCACAATGAAGCAATAACAGGGTATCTATATGGAACTGGACAGAAAAGTCGATGTATATTCAGTGGCTTCTCTTCAAGAAGGAGTGTTTCAGGAGCTGAACAGCAGAAGGTCGCTCGTGCTGATCTCTAAGAAGGGAAAAACACATTAGATGCAGCACTTAATAATGTGCCTGCCAAGTAGATCTACTCAACTCAAAATACCAACTTTAAAGATGGAAGTACAACCTCTGCCCATCAAACAGAAGGTTTTAGTTTAGACTCCAGTTTTTAGCTGTGTGATCTTAGATGAGTGAATTGTACACTTTCCTCTTCAGTAAATAGGAATGATTCTACTTGTTGAGAAAATTAAATAATGTAGATGAAGCTTTTAAACAGTGTCTGACACACAGTAATCATTCAAAAAGTAGCAGTATGATTAAACACCAAGCCCTACTTTTTTAGTGTACTTTTATTCAGTTTGGGGTATAATATTTATATATAGTAAAATTCATATTGTTAGATGTACATTTAAATACATTTTGAGTTACTAAATTTTTCAAATTTAGAGGTACTGGAATTCAAAATTGAAGTCTTCAGGGAGTAGACTTACTTTTTTCTTTTTCTTTTTTTTTTTTAAGATTCATTTATTTATTTATGCAAGCAGTGGGTACAGTCAGAAGTGCGGGAGGGTGAGAGAATTCACCAGAGCCAGAGCGGGGAACAGAACAGGCAGAAGGACCGAAGTACACTGCTGAGGGGAGCAGCGGGTGGCAGGAGAGGTCTGCGCGCCATGTGGGACCCTCCTCCGGTGGCTGAGGAGCAGCCGGGGATCAAACCGGTGCCGCAGAGGCTGAGGGCAGCTTCGCAATCCAGCGTTCAACCGCTGCGCCACCGGGGAGGCCCAGGGAGTAGACTTTAAAATGTGCTTTGGAAATTAACTGAAATAATCTAAGTGAAACTGTTGGGTGAGCAAAAAGTAGGGACAGTTGCAGATAATTATCTGCAATGACTTTTCTGAAAGCATTCTTTATGTTACATTGGCTATCTTTTGATAATTCTGGAAATGACCAAGAATAACTGAGGTGAAATAGAAATAAAATACTTTAAAAACAAAGTGACAATTGGGCCTCCCCGGTGGCGCAGCGGTTGAGCGCTGGGTTGCGAAGCTGCCCACAGCCTCTGCAGCGCCAGTTCGATCCCCGGCTGCTCCCCGGCCACCGGAGGAGGGTCCCACATGGCGCGCAGACCTCTACTGCCGCCCGCTGCTCCCCTCAGCAGTATACTTCGGTCCTTCTGCCTGTTCTGCTCCCCGCTCTGGCTCTGGTGAATTCTCTCACCCTCCCGCGCTTCCGACTGTACCCAATGCTTGTATAAATAATAAATAAATAAATAAATAAATAAATCTTTAAAATTCAGTCTCCTATCTTGGGACAACCGTCTTCCTCTCATCTGTCCTCCCTCCTTTCCTTTCTTCATTATATGTTAGACTTGAAGCTATGGGTCTGTTATCTTCCCAAGTGAGCATTTGCAAGAACATTTTATTCAGTCCTTTAATTTTCATGACTATTGCAACCTTATCACTTTCAAGTATGTACCTCCAGTCTTAATTGCTTTTCTGAGCACTAATACTATCCTTCAAATGTTTGTTTAGAGGAAGGCCTTCAAATTCCTCCCTGTTCCTCTTTCACAATTTTGTAATTTCTTCCATTATTTGGAGAAAATCACAAAACCCCATCATCCTCCATTATAAAGGAAATCCTGACTCTCCTTTCTCTGAGATACTCTGAAATCTTCTTAACAGTCACATCTCCTCCACCATCAGAGTTCAGGCTCTGGATTCACACATTGCCTTCCAGTCTCAAGCATCCTCCATTCAAGGTCGTTCAGATTCCAAAGATCTTTTTGTTCATGGCATTTTCTCCCCCAAATCAGTTGCAATCCCCTCTTCACTTCCTATTGCAACAAAGCTAAAGTCCTTGGCCTGACTTACTGGAAATTTAAGGCTGCCTAATAAGTATACCACCCACCTTCCTGCTCCCCAAAATACATTTCTATTTTGTCCTTGTTCCTGTTCCATACTTGATAGTCTCTACTTCTGAATCTTTAATAAGAGTGCTTTATCCCTTTCTTTCTGATTATCCACACCTCATGTAACATTCGAGAGCACATAGGGCCTTTTAAATACAGCATATCAAAAATAAATAAATAAATACAGCATATCAAGAGGTTAAGTTTGGCTAGGACACTAATTAGGTAAGGTGTATCAGTATTCTCCCAAACCATTATTAACTATGGAGCGCTAATTATGTGTTTCATATTAGTATTAGTTTCATATTAGTATTTCATACTGAGCAATTTGTATACACTATTTCAGTTAACCTTCACATTTTTAGTGGTGTGAATTGTGTATTGTTTATAAAGCACTGGTTTAAAAGGAGAACCATTAAAAAAATTATACCCTTTCTCTTTAAATTTCTCTGTAAATATGTGTGTAGTGACAATTTGAAAGTGAGAATTAACAAGTAGTTTCTGTGAATCAATAATAGCTAATTGTTTATGAACAAAGCAATCAGTAATTTTGTGAGCTAAGACTAATCTCCAAAACTAGTACTGGTTCATATGATATTCTTAACACTTTTGTGTTATATTTGTGAAGATTTTGGGGGGCAGGCAGAGGCAGCTCTGCATCTGGGGTTCTGACTACAAAATCCATGCTGAAACATCTATCCCTGGTGTCTTTTCATCTAGGGATGCCTAGGACTACACTCCTGGACCATGTGTTCCTGCCCTATTTTAAGTGATTCCCCTGGACTCAGCCAGTGGACTAACACTCATGTTCTAAGAGAGGGAGACACATTCATTGACAGAGTGGTACAACTGTGGGTTCTGAGATTCATTAAGAAAGACAAAATGGGGCCTCCCCTGGTGGCACAGGCGGTTGAGCGCAGCGCTGTGAAGCTGTCTGCAGCCTCTGCAGCGCCGGTTCGATCCCCACCAGCAGGAGAGGGTCCCACATGGCGCGGCACCTCCCCTGTCACACCTGCTGCTCCCCTCAGCAGTGTATTTCATCAGTCTGCCTGTTCTGTTCCCCACTCTGTCTCTGGTGAATCCTCTCACCCGCGAATCTGGCCTGTACCCCGGTTCTTGTATAAATAAATAAATCTTTAAAAAAAAAGACAAAATCACAGTTGGAGATTGTCATATATGCTATATGAAGGTTGAGGCACTTGAATTTCATCTAGAAATAACAAAACCTACTTCCTTGAAAGGCAAGAAATTGTGTTTAGACCTAGGTCTTCATTCTATACATGCAACTAAATATTGAGTTTCACTAGGTGGGTAGATGTTAGGCTGTTCTGCATAATCCTAGAGGCCAGGTGGGTAGGCTTCATGCCCCATCCTACTCTGTAGCTCTTCCCCTCCCCCGCTCCACACAATTTAACTGAAGCCATGCTTTTATGTTTTATTCTTTGAATTAAGATTTCATAGGCGTAAGAATGTCTGGCTGAGAAAAGTTTGAAAACCACCCCAGGGGGGTAATTTCTAAGGTCCCTTACAGTTCTAACATTTTACACAAAATCTTAGGTCATAGATATTAGGGGCCATCAGGACAGGAGAAAACAAGCAACTTTCTAGAACTTTTCTACTTCCCTAAACACTACCTCACTTAATGCTTGAAATGCTGTATCTATAAGATTTGTTCCTTTGGTTCAAAATAATTCCCCTTGCCTTATAGGCAAGTACTTCTAGGAGAACCAGTGCATTACATCTATCAGTCATCAATCCCTCAATATGAATGAATTTCTCATGTACCTTCCTGAGAGCTGGTTTAAAGAAGGAATGAGAACACTGGTTCTCTAAGAAGGAAGGCAGCTTAGGAGAGGGAAACCCAAGCACACGTTTCACCATGGCTGGCCTATGGAAGGACATCCTATTAGTAAATAAGATCTTTAGTAAATTTGTACACCTATTGACTTAGGGAAGTATTGTCTGAACCCAATAAGATATTTAATTGAGGCACTTTCTTCTTGAAGCATTACCTCAATACCCTGACACAATAAGGAACACAACCAACCCAGTATGGCTAATAACAATGCCTTTCAGCACAAAATCATACCATACTTGATTTCTTAACTGAAATACAGCTCTTAATGGACCATAAATTCAGGGGAAATGTCAGCTGCTCAAAATCTCTAGGAATTTATTCTTTCTCCTTCAGCTTTTAGATTCTTACCTGGTTAGACACACACGCACAAAGTCTGCTGCATCTTCTGAAAAGTGTTCTGGTAAAGGAGGCATTAGCCCTCGGTGTGCTCCAATATAAAACATGGCCGCCATCCTGTCCATAGAAGCCAGTGGAGGCTTCCCTGTGGCCATCTCAAACACAGTGCAGCCAATGCTCCAGATGTCTGACTTCCTTCCATAACCAGATTCATTGATGACTTCCGGTGCCATCCAATATGGAGTCCCATGCATGGACTTAAGCATGTCACTGTGGGTCCCATTTAAGCCAGCCCAAGCCAAACGCTTGGCACAGCCAAAGTCGATCAGCTTTATTATTCCAGTTGGCATGAGCATGACATTATTTCCTTTGATATCTCGATGTACCACACAATTCTCATGGAGATAAGCAACACCTTGAAGAATTTGTTTTGTATATTTACAGAATACCATCTCAGGCAATGGCCCAAAGCGGTTTATAATACTAGAGATTGAGCCACCAGGAACAAATTCCATGAAAATGCTTACAATATTCTCTTCCAAGCATGTCCCCAAATAGGCCACAATGTTGACATGTTTCAGTGCTTTGAGCAAATCTACTTCTTCCTGCAGTTTCCGGTATTCATTTTCAGTGGCTAATTTTTCAGAGGTATCCAAAGCTACCTGTTTTACAGCTATTAGCTGTCCTTGGCTAGTAAGACCACAATATACCTAAAAGCAAACCAACAACTTACTATTAAATAGGAATTATTTAACTTGTTCACAAAATGCTTCATGTGACACTTGTCTTTCCTATTCCCTCCCAGACACTTATCTTTCTCTAAGTTGATACATACCTACCTATCTAAATGCAAAATATTTAAGCAAATTCAGTGATTCAAGGGTACCAAATTGGGAATGAGTAGCATGGTGAATGGATATCATGACTTAGAGTTAAGTGGACTGGATTGATATAAATCCTTATTTCACTATTCCATGTAATTTGGGGTAAGTTGTATAACATTTTTTTTTTTAAATAGAGGCATGTTTTATTTATTTATTTGTTTGTTTGTTTATACAAGCACTGGGTACAGTCAGAAGCGCGGGAGGGCGAGAGAATTCACCAGAGCCAGAGCGGGGAGCAGAGCAGGCAGAAGGACCGAAGTACACTGCTGAGGGGAGCAGCGGGCGGCAGGAGAGGTCCGCGCGCCATGTGGGACCCTCCTCCGGTGGCCGGGGAGCAGCCGGGGATCGAACTGGCGCTTCAGAGGCCGCGGGCAGCTTCGCAACCCAGCGCTCAACCGCTGCGCCACCGGGGAGGCCCAGTTGTATAACATTTTTTACTGCAATTTTTCTCATTATAAAGCTGTGATAACAGTACTTTCCTTACTGGTATCTATGATGGCTACATGAGATGATGGTTTAAGACAGCTCCTTTCTGAATATATGAAATAAGGCTATTTCAAGTGCCAAAGCTCTAAGGAGATGGAGACATGTCTTGGGGCATTTCAGCAGTCCCCCTGTCATCTGATTTCAGTGATTTCAGGAGGTTTCCCACCCTTTCATTGAAACATCCCCAAACAGAGTTATAACAGGTCTTACTTATATGGAGAGCAGTCTTTTCCAATCTATAATACTAACTAAAGTGTTAAGATTTTAGATGGTCTTTCATGCAATTCACAAAGTATAAGGAACATCTTATTTTTGTCACTCAACTTGTGGTCCAATATCCTGAACTACTGAATAAAAAGACTTCTTTCCACTGAACTTGGTTAGAAGTGCAATTTCTGGCCCAATTTGTAGCCATTTTACTGCCACATAGACTCTGAGATTGAGAGCCAGAAAGACCAGACCGATCCTAACATTGTGTGACCCCTGTAACTAATTGTATGCAGGGCCAGGGGTAACAGTTACATGTCTTTTTCAAGTCATTTTGGGTTGGGTTTCCTGTTACTTTCAGTGGAAAGAGTTCTAAGTTAAAGATTATGAAGGGAAAGGGTGGGAAGGATTAGGGAAGAGAAGGGAGGTAGAAAAGGAATGGGGGACTTTTGGTTTCATCGTATTTCCCATTTAACTTACTGTGCCGTAGGCTCCCTTCCCAAGGATCTCACCCTTGGTCCACATGATAGGTTTTTCATACTTTAAACTATTTTCAGAAAATGTCTTCTTTTCATTTGTGTTGAGAAATTTTTCTTCTTTGTCATATATCCTGAACCCATTACTGTATCTCTGGAAGAATGAGACCATTAAATTCTGAGTCATTGAGATAGAGGAAAGAAGTGGAAAGTATGTAGTCTTTCTGTCAAATGCCCCTGTTCATGCCCATATATATTGTTCATGGTTAATCTCTATATATATACATTTCCAAGAAAAGGACCAGACATTATACCTTAGCTGTGTATTTCAGGCATGGTAATTGTACACAGCTCTAAGTCACATCTTGGCTTATACATTTTATAGGAGAAGGCTTTGGGCCTGTTAATCTCTGGACCTAAATGGGCCTGCAGGTTCTTAACCACTGTCTTCTTAGAATGACCTCACACAAGGTCTCTATTATGAATGAGTATTTAGTATGTGCTGTCTTCTCAGCGCCCCCATCCTCAACTTTCTCTCCATAATTCCCACTATCCTGGTAAACTTGTTCCTGAAGATAAAATTAGAAATACAAACGTGCACACAGCCAAACAAGCACACACAGAGACATATATGATCATGTACACATATTCAATATGCATTCACACAAAGATATGTGCACACAAAGTATATGCAAACAATCCATGAACATATATATGAATCAATACACATATGTACTGAAAGACTGAAAATGCAAATAGATAATGGCCACCCCATATATAAACACTGAACTTTCATTCACAATCTGCAGCAACCATCCCAGGAAACCCACCCAATATCTTCAGTAACCAGCTGAGGAAACCAACCCATTATCTACAAGTCAGACTTGTAAAATGTCTGACCAATGCCTCTAGCAGTCTAGGAGTCAAACAATAACCATTCTAACAACTGGATTCAAACAGCCAGGACTCGATCAAGAACTGATAGGTTCCCTAATTTCTGTCTAACTTAGGACTAACTAGAGAAAGCCAAATATGTGCCCTTAACTAAGCACACAGACTTACCCTGCAAGTTAGTGCACCTATAGCTTTTCAGAGCATCAGCCTCTAACCAACACAAAGCCTTTCCTTTTTTATACTAAAAACGTTTCCTACTCCTCTGTCTCCCTTTGAATTTCTGCCAAAATGCAAAGGATTGGAGCCGACTCCTTTGTAATAGCAAGCTCTGAATACAGATCCTTTTTCTGTTCTTCAATTAGTTCTTCAGTACACACAAACACATTCATATATACATTTATACACATTTACCAAGTTCTCTCTCTCTCTCTTACACACACACACACACACACACACACACACACACACACACACACAACAGGCAAGTTTGGTGGTGAAGACCAGTCACAATAGGTTGAAGATGCATAGTCCTCTAGACCCTTGCTATTCAAAGGGCTACTCCAGCATCACCTGAGAGCTTCTTAAACATGCACAATCTGAACAGTAGGTCTCAGACATACTGAACCAGGGTCAACACTTTAGTGTGAGCCCCAAAAGATTTGAATTCACAGTAAACTTTGAGAGGCCCTGGCCTAGAATTCAGAAAACAAGTATCTATGTAGAACTTAGACTAGGTTTTCTAGCTGATTAATAAGGACCAAAAATACTTTGTTTTCATTTCCTCTATTAGTACCTTTAAAAATAAAAGAAAATGGTTATGCAGAGGTATGGTGAAGGCACACTAAGAAGATGATATCCTACAGGGTCACCATCCTCACAAATGAACACGCATGCTTCCAAAGGGTCACTTGGATACCTCCTCCCAATCCCGTTCGGTTTCTACCAAAATTGAAATTTAAGGAAAACAAAATGTCAGTTCTTTACTACGTCACTGCAGAGTAGGGTTACAAACTGATTATACGTACTAGCTTGCAGCTTTTCTTCTATTTGAAATGGCAGAGTGTTAGACCCAACTCACAGCCAAGCACACACATGCCCCCCATCTCCCACTCCACCCTGGAGGCTACTCAGAATCACTGCCCATCTTCCAGCAGAGATCAGTTTCACTATAAATATGGAACTGGCCTTTTAAGACAAGGAGTATCCCTCTGTGTAGTGATTAAGGGTGTGGGACTGGATCAGGACGTCTGGCTCTGCCACTCACTGGAACTTGCTAAACCTCATTTCCTCATCTGCAAAGTGGAGACTTGATATTACCTTTATTACTTATCTCGTCGAGTTTTATAAATCATGTAAAGGAGACAAAATAATGCATCGAGCTCATACATGGTAAGTTCTCAATAAACCTAGTTATGTATAAATTTTACCTTGTGTATTCTTCGGATCAACTACTTAAAATAATTATTCCTGATTTTGATATAATGTGAGATAACCCAAGTTAGTGTTCAATTAAAAATATGTCAGCTAAAAAGATGAGCAACATCTATTAAAAATGATATATCATAAAAAATAATAAAAATAAAAATATGTCAGCTAAACCTACTGCTTCTAAAATTTGATGCCTCAAGAGGGGCTCATGTACTTAAGTGAGAACTGAAACAACACCCCACTATCTGTTGATATTCTTCTCTCCCATCCCCAATCCATGTCAAACAAAATTTTAAACATTTCAGAGTTTTTGTTTATGCTTCCTTGACAGCATGTTTCTAGTTCTTAGCCCACTTACAGAAACACAATAGCCATCAATAATAATTGTGTGTTAAAGTACCAAACCATCTCAGAACAAATGCTAAAGTCAGGGAATCTTTGAGAAATGGTCACTTCATGTCTGCAAATGTTTTGTGGAACTAAATGGTGAGATAATTTAGGAGCTGTGCTCATTTCCTTCTATCTTACACATAACCTAGAACACTACTTTACCTAAAGGTAAATATGCTGTAGGTATCTGTACTGATACTTGTTGATTGAAAACATCATCACTGAGTAAAATAGTAACCTATTTAAATAAGTACTTTTTTGTTATTTTAATTTACCCAAAATTATTCCATTCCAGTGTCAGGCTAGGGATCGTAACCTGAGAGTGGGAGGATCTAGATGGGATGTTGCAGGAACTATTGAATTGTGCAGAGTTTCTGATTGCTTGTGTGAAAATAAGGAGTGTGAACTAGATTGTCCCTGAAGTTCCTTTCCACCCCAATGATCTTTGACTGACTATACCAACCTGTATTTTGACATTTGTTGACTCTATATCCATTTCTTGCCTGGTGTTTCCTGTCCTACTGAGGACAAGATTTAGGTTTTCAGGATCTGTTTCATTTGCCATTGTTTGGCAAGAATTGTTATCTTTCTCATCAAGAGCCAATAGTTCTGCAGCTAAGCAACCTAATAGTTCATCTGTCAATTCTTCATTCTTCACAGAATCCAGAATTTCTTGGGAAATTGGATTTGTATCATTTAAAGCTTTTCCAAATTTTTGATATGTAATTGATTTACCAGCTAAACTACCATGATCCCAAGAATGTGCCCAGTGTTGATATGTTTGGGAAAATGCACTTTCTTGTTTCTCTTGGAAAGAGGAACTCAAAGGAGTTTTAGACTTATCTGAAATACTATCAAACTCTAGATCGTTAACTAACATTTGATTGGCATTTATTTTACCCAGAGATGCTATATTCTGCTTTTCTTGAAGTACATGATTATTGGAACTCTTCTCATTGGGCACTGCCCAGCTGTTTTCAGAAAAAACCAACAGGGTCTGGTGATGTAGCTCTTCAAGTTCATGTAGATTTCTGAGACTTGTGGTGAGTATTTCATTGTTAGAAATGTCTCCTTCATCAAGGGACTCTTCCATAGAGACTTCTTCAACAACTGACAAATCTGACACAGGAATGAATTCTTTCTGTTCAATGGACTGCTCATGAGTCTGAGTCAAGTTCATGGGCTGAACTTCATCCTGGGAAGATAGAAAGTCATTTCCTGAAGATTTTATCTGCCACTCTGGTTCCAATATACCATCACCATTTTCAATACCTTGTAGGTTGCTACCTATAGCCTTGCAACCCTTTTCTTCAGGAATTAAACTTTTGTGTTTTTTTTTAATGCCAAGGGAAGTCTTTGGGGGTTTAATATGTGGTCTTTTCTGAGATAGTCTTGTTCTGCTGTTGCTGTTCCTTTCACTGTGTGAAGATCGACATTTATTGGTGCTACATCTGCCAGACGGAGCCGAGCATATCTCTCGGTAAAACCTGTTTTCATGTCGTTCAGCCTCTCGCATGTGACAATAGACAGGAGTTCCAAACATTTCATAGATTCCAGGTCCATTGGCAGTTGAATTAATTTCTTTGAACATGTCACTGTATTTAAGATCTCGGTAATTTAGTTTTGGTTCTGTTGGTTGATCAGAAAGAGGAACAGAAGATTTTTTTATTCCCGGATTTTTACAGATGCAAGGAAATGATTGCTTTTTAGGTTTCAGAGCCTGGTAAGTTGACTGCTTCTTTTCTATCTGTGGTGTTCTCCTTTGAAACTTGGGTGACTGCCGAGGCCTGGTGTCAACAAGTCCTAAAGCAGGAAAAACTTGAGTTTTTATGCTGGTTTTATGTATGGTAGGCTTAACGGGACCTTCAGTAGAAATCATGAAATTCTGAGGTGTCCGATTACTGGTCTTGTTCTTTGAATCCAGCTTATTTCTAGGGGGTTTCATCTTATGCCTATCATTTTCTTGGGATGCAAGTATGTTGCAGCTATTGTTGTTATGAAGGGCACCCTTTCTTTTGTGGAGGCTTGGTTTGGCTATAGCTGGTTCCTTGGGAGTTCCATGCACAGGGAAAGTGATGTGGGTAAGAGGCACCACCCCATTCTTTCCTGGTTTGGTTGCCTCTGCTACTGATATTTTCATGTTTGTCTCCATGCCACTATGACCTCCTGGGAGCTTTTCAATGGGACCATCAGGGACTATATTGGACAAACTTTTAAGTTCAGTATGTTCTTCCAAAATATGATTTGGCTCAACTGCTTCACCTTTATTTGCTGAAGTGCCTTTTGAATCAGTGTTATCATTTCCAGTCTCTTCCTCCTGGCTTGGAGTTACTTCTGAATGCCAAACTTCTTGGAATTTGATTGGCACAGTACATAAAACTTCTGAATCTTGTTCATGGTTGTTGGCTAAACCCTCTTTTTTCCCCAGTGAGTGATAAGGAGAGTCCTCCTCTGCAATTCTCATTTCACTACCATGACAGTCAATACCCACTTCCCTGTCTGTAGGAAAACCATCTTCCTGAAAATTCTCAAAGGACACCAGAGACTGCTCTTTTTCAAAGTGAGAAATTTCAGTTTTCTCATATCTTTCCGTTTCTGTGGATTTCTGATTCTCCTCCATGCGCAGGTGTTGTTTGTGATGGTTAGCCTTCCAAAAAGAGCACATGTTTCTGGACCAAATGAAGCTGTCAGAGGACCTGAGGGTCTGACCCATGAACACCTTAAAGTGGCCTTCTTGCTGCTTGTTGGATGTTTTGAATTCATCAGATCGACTCACAGGCTCTGAGAGCCTAGGTATGAAGGATATGAATCTTGGAATAGTTCTTTCTCTCTCTTTTTGATCCTTGTGACTCTGAGGGATAGTAAGCAGACCAGATCTAATGGGCAAGAGTGACAACCGTGGCAGAGGAAACTAAAAGGAAAGACAGAAAATGCTAATGAATGCAGAAACATAAATACATATAATATTAACTGGTTTATAGTAATCTCAAGAGATTCTAGGATTATTTTAGGAAGGTCTTTAAAGTAAAAATATATCCTGGAGATCACAATTTCTAAAAATAAAATCTCATTCCCAGTGTTTTATTTTTGAACCAATATAAAATAATAGTAGAACACAAGATTATCACAGACATAAAAATTCATTTTTTATATATATTAAAATAAAGGTACTATAATATAAATATTAACAATTTAAAATTTTATTTCTCCTCTGTATTCTTTTTACTTTACATATGATTAAGAGCTTTCAAATTCCCACTTTAAAAAGTTTAAAATTGCTGTTCCTATTTAACAAACTCCATTAGGTTTCAGACTAAACCTATCTGAAGCACAACTATTCTCCATTGTTTTGCTGAATTATTTTGTTAAGAGTGACTTATGAAAGTCTAACACTTTACACTTGAAAGTTAGCAACGATGAATGGTTTTTAATTTTCCTTTGCCCTCCATTTTTGAACTTAGCCAATTTTTATTATCAACCTCTAGAGGTCAGTATAACCCAATACATAATATTCAGCTTTATCATTAAATTATAAACTATGCTTCTCATCATTGTAGCCTTTTCTCAAGTATACAGATTAGATATCTAATTATATCAGAATATTTGTATTTTACAGTTAAGAATTAGTTTTTATTATACTTTCCCTTGTGTGTAAGCAAGGAAAAGAAAAGGAAGTTGAAACTGAAAACTTAAGTGTTAGTAACATGTGAAAGGCACTCCCCCGGCCAGTGTTACTGCATAGAGGATTTTCGTTCAGCTCTCAAAAACAACTTAAGTAAATACAGATTCCTCCAGTGTTTAAATATCTTCCAAGTAAATAAATAAATAAATAAATAAATATCTTCCAAGTAACAGTCATTATTTTTCTGAGCCCAATAAACTCCTTTTTATTTTTTTTAAAGATTTATTTATTTATGCATACAAGAATTGGGGTGTAAGCCAGAGGTGTGGGGCGGGGGTGTGTGTGTGAAAGGATTCAACAGAGACAGAATGGGGAGCAGAACAGACAGATCTGCTGAAATACACTGCTGAAGGGAGCAGCTGGGGAGGCAGGAGAGGTCTGCTAAGCCATGTGGGTTCCTCCCTGGCTGCCAGGGATGGAACTGGTGCTGCAGTGGCTGGCGATAGCTTGGTAGCACTCTTTAACCCCTGTGCCACCAGAAAGGCCCATAAACTCCTTTTTACTGTACTAAGTGGTACCTATGTTGTTTCTCAAAGACTCATAGGATACAGAAGATTCCTATAGTTGAAAGACTTGCAATGGTCTTTCCAAATGCTTTACTTATAAATTAGATGAGTCAAAAAATTGTTTACCACTGCCAAAAAGAATCAACTAATTTTTAGATACATAAAGAAATTCTTATTCTATAAACCATAGTAAGTTGTTTCCAGTTGTTGAGGGTTTTGATTCTGAATCCTTTGATAGAGTTTGTCTCTAACAACACATTACTTTGGTTGTAATTCTCAAATTAAAAAAGCTAAAACTAATCTTACCTCAATTCTTCGGCTACTATTCTTCAAATCATTGGTAGAAAACTCTATAATAAAGAAAAATAATAATAATTAGGCAGTGTTCTAGTAAAGTGAACACAATGAGTCTTAAGCCAGAGTGTGGGGAGGGAGAGATCTTGGTGCTAAGGTTTGAAGAAAAGTTGTCAAAAGTAAGAGTTTTTCTAAATGTAACGTACATGGAGGAGGTTATGGAATGATTGTACAAAATTTTAGGCTACTACCAGTAAGGCAGATTGTTTCACATATAATTTTGTTTTTAACATACATCTATGATATATAGTCATATGCCATATAGTGACATTTTGGTAAAGACAGACCACGCACATGACAGTGGTCCCTATGTGTAGCCCAGGTTTGTGGAGGGTGTACCATCTAGTTTATGTAAGCACACTCTGAAATTTGCACAATGAGGAAACAGCCTAATGATGTGTTTCTCAGAACATATCCCCATCATTAAGTAGCATGTGACTGTGTGTGTGTGTGTATAATATTTGTGTATATATCACTGCTGTATAATAAAACATTTGTATATATCATTCTATATCAACATTGTTAATAATTTTTATTTATGTCTATGTTTATGTTTATATTTATATTCTGTCTGAACATGGAGACTTCTGGCTCAGAAATGTTTGAACAGATATATTCCAGCATGCAAGGAATAATCCAATTGTAGTAAGGCACTCTTAAAACATTTGTGGTAGAAATGCAGAGGTAAGAGCTTTCTGGTAGGCAATCTGGCAATATATATTGACAGCCTTCTTAAATGTGTATAGAATTACCTATAAGATTGAATGTATATATTTTTCCTACTCTCTTCACAAACCTCACTAAATCTAAAATTTAAAAGATGTTTTAAAAGATATAATTAAAAACAATGACAAGAACAAAAAAACCAAGGGATAACACAACATATAAACAACATTAACAAAACATTTTACAATTAAAACTCTATGAAAGAATAATAAATGACTTTGTTTACACTTTTCTCTGTTCGGCTCCATGCCAGCAGAGGTAACTGAATAGAAATAAAAAACCCCAAAAGAAGCAGGAATTGAAGATGTGTGGTACCTTTGAAGGAAGGGTTGCAGGCAAGGCTGAAACTAGGGTTTGTTTATTAATTTGTGTAAGGAGGTAGTTCCAGACTCCCTGCCTTGCCCACTAATCAGGAGTTACTCTTCTTTCGTGGTAAATGACTAGAAGTTCATTCTCTGGTGGATGACTGGAAGTTCATTCTCTTGAAACAAAGATGCTAAGGAAATTATGAAATCTGGCACACTGACATGTGAAGCTTCAGTCTTATAACCTTGACTTATCCCTCCTTAGGGAAAACCAGTTGAAAGAAAAGCCTATCTCAGCACATTGACACTGCACATACCCTCACTCAACTGTCCAGGTCTCTGACGTTCAACAAACCACTTTGGAGCACCCAACACTTCCTAGTGCCCCCTCTTAAATACAAATAGAAAACCAATGTTCAAGTGATAAGTGAGAAAGTCTCTAACATGAAAATACAGAGACCAAAACAAGCTGAAAGAGCTCAGAGGAAATATATACAGTAAAAAAAAAACTACCTACCATTAATACACTCCACCCAGAAAGCTACTGGAAAAAGCACCCCACTAAAATAAGCAAACCAAGAAAGAAGAAACAATGCATCCAGTACACAGGGGTCCAGCACAGCAGACAGGTCAAGGGAGCTTCCTGGATGATAGTGAGAGAATCCCAGAAGATGGCTGATCAGTGGGTCCAAAGAGCAAGCAACACACAATGAAACGGGTGGCCAGAGGCTTCAGGAGCACTCTCTTAAAAACCAAAATGAGGGCCTCCCCGGTGGCGCAGCGGTTGAGCGCTGGGTTGCGAAGCTGCTGCCCACAGCCTCTGCAGCGCCGGTTCGATCTCCGGCTGCTCCCCGGCCACCAGAGGAGGGTCCCACATGGCGCGCAGACCTCTCCTGCCGCCCGCTGCTCCCCTCAGCAGTGTACTTTGGTCCTTCTGCCTGCTCTGCTCCCTGCTCTGGCTCTGGTGAATTCTCTCACTCTCCCGTGCTTCTGACTGTACCCAGTGCTTGTATAAATAAATAAAAAATAAAAATAAATAAAAATAAATCTTAAAAAAAAAAAACAACAACCCAAAATGAACCAATGCATTACCTAATGTGCAGCTGCGTGTACTGAGGTGTGTTTTACAAGGTGGGAATAAATTAGTGACATATACAGAAAATAAGCAAATGATTAAGAGGCAGTTATTAACACCAGGGCAAATACCACATCATCTCCAAAGAAAGGAAATGTAATCACAGCATACTTTGCGGGTCAGCTGTTAATATTTTACCAAGTCACAATAATGGAAGCATTGGACATTTTTTTAAACAAAGATTGGGAAGGTTGGGAATTGCCTCTGTGTGAGGAGAGTAATGTAAAAGTGTTAGTAGACAAGGACTAAATTGAACAGTCAAGTAATACCATTATCAACTTTTAGAAATATGGAGGTGCAATCTAGAAAAAAATTATGTTGAATTAGTTTGTATCTGTTATCTTTTCATTTTGTTCATGTATCTTTTCTAAATGTTTCTGATCAACATATATTGATTGCTAAATTTTTTAAATTGCATTTAAACAAAAAGAAGGGAACTTGCCTGGGGAATCCCTATTGACATTTTCAGACAATGTTTGAACACCCATGAAGTTCCTATTACAAAATACTAACCTAACCAATTTTATCCTTACCTGAGTATTTATTTTATCAATTTAATTAAATACCATTGATTTACATATTTGTTACTATTTTGACAACATAGGATTTCTCTACTCTAGTGTAGTCACCGTAGCTCTCCAACCAGCAAAGCACCCACAGTTGTCCACCATAGTCCACATATTATTCCCCCTTTTCCTGCTTGTTGCCTCAGATCTTTGGCCAACTTTCATGGTTGATTTTTATTTTAGACAAACATTTGATATGTTTGTCTCTGTTTGACCCTTTGGTTAGTTTCTCTATATACATATACATACATATTCTTATATACATATGAGTTTGGATGTTTAAACTTGCATGTGAGATTACCCTCCGAAGTCTCTCCATGTCACTTACAATCTTTCCAATGTCTCACATGACCCTATATAATCAGTGCTCACCCCCATTACAGTTTAAATCTCCTTTGCCCCAACTTTCCTTGCTCCAACTGCACTTGCCTTCTGTCCCCTGGAACATTCTTCTCCATATACACATGGCTCACTCCCTCTTCTGATATTTTCTCAACTTACCTTCTCAATATTGCTGTCATTAACCCTATTTTAAAATACTAAACAGCTGCATTGCTATTTTTTACCATTTATTTTTCTCCATAGTATATATCACTATCTGATGCACTGTGTATTTTACTTGTTTGTTAGTTTATTGTCTTTCCTTTCCCTGCCCTCAATAGCATGAGATGTAAATTCCACAACAGAGGGATTATTGCTTGTCTTGTTCCCTTCTCTAACTAGCACCTGGCACAAAAAATAAACATTTGTTGATTGAAAGAATAAAGGAATCTGTTTAAATATGTGTTTGACTGACCTTCAGATTTTCTTTGCTGCCCTTTCAGAAGAGGAACATCTTCTCTGGCAGCAGATTTGGAGATGTTTGGTTCTAAGCAAGGTCTTGGCAGCAAAAAGCCCAAGTTCATATCACACAGTTCCCGGGATCTTTCCTCTTTCTTCAGAAGTAAAGGGTCTGTGGTCAGCACCTTTGTCCTGAAGTCCACCATCTCAATTTCATTTGGAACAGGAACAGAATGTGCTTGTGTCCATTCTTGATGTACTGATGTTATCTGACTAAAAAAGGAAATGTTTTGATTTAAAACTCACTCCCCATGTCTTCTGCACCTTCACCTCCCAGTTCAGCCTGACAGATGTGCTGCTCGGTGGAATGGGTGTATTCCTGAAAGGTTAAGACCTCTCCACACTCCACCTCTCTCTCCCCCTCACTGCCTTCTACACTCCCCACTTTAGTTTTCCCAGGTCCCATTTCCTTGAGCTGAGAAGTCAGAGGAGCAAAGGGCAAACACAGGGTGTACCCTTTTATTTCTCTAAATGCATTTACCAACCCAGTTCTTCTCCAAGTATTTTTGGTGAAGCACCAGTTATTTAAATTTTCTAGTCCATTGTGGATTGATACTTTTGTAAAATAGAATAAAAGAAAATTACTGTAAGAATGAAACAAAAGTTTTAAAATGTAAAAATAAGATATTTATATTTGATAATGATTTTCTATCAAACCAATGAACATAAAATTACTTTGTCAACTTGCTATTCAATGTTTTATATGTTTACATTTTCAAGTTATATTCTGCCTTCATCATGGACTAGTTGCAGTAACACAGAACCACGTTTTGACTGGTGCTGCTGCAGGGTTAGCAAACCATGGCCCTCCAGCTGTTTTTGTAGTTTCATTTGGTCACAGGCACACCCATTACTTACATTTTGTCTGCGGCTTCTGTAGTCCAAGCTATAATTGCAGAGTTGAATAACTGCAGAGACCATATGGCCCACAAAGTCTAAAATATTTTTTATCTGCTCCCACCACAATAATATTTATTAGACTCCTGCTTTAGAGCAGGGCTGATTTACCAAAAACATAGATTGCCACAGAAGTGTCATGTCATCCTATATTACAATCTATCACTTCAAAGACTATTCCTTACTTGTTTTCCGTTAAATCTTCTTGACTCATTTCTTGGGGGTCAGTGACATCTCTTGGAAAAGTAACAATAATCTCAACACCTACAGAAATTCATGACAATAGTAGAAGGAAGAAAAAAGCAATGAATTCCAGTGTTAATAGGAAGAAGCATTTTATTTTGGGGTATATATAGACTTTTCTTAATGATTACAGAATGGACATTAATCAGAGACTGAGGTTTAGCCATCTCTATCTTTCTTTCCAACACATGATAGGTCCAAAATAAATGCTTGCTTAAAGAGCAAAAAATTATAACAAAACCTTCTTGATATAATGTGAGCAATGTTGTTCCCTGGGTGAAGGAAACAAAGTCTCCTGTAAAATATCAGTGATGACACCTACTTTACAGGACTATTTGTGAGAATAAATTGAGATAATCTATGTAACATCATGGGAACTAGCTTTTATTTGTAATTTTGGTAATCTACTATCTGCTTTCATAGAATGATTCCCAATATAATTCCTAAGACAGAAAGTTCCAACTTATAAAATCAATGCTTGCTTACAAAACATTAAACAAATTTACAGTAAAACTTGTAAACACATCAAAATTCACATCAAAAAACCAATGTGAATCACATCAAAATTGCCTGTACTTTCCTTGTTCATCTATTCCTTTTTCCCCTTTAAATACACTTTTATTAAGTATATGCCATCCCAATGCTTTGTGCTGATGAGATAGAATCAAGGTGCTGTGACTATAGTAGAGACAATAAATAATATAGCAAAAAGTATAGTGAGATAAGCATATAATAGAAGTGTGCAATCAGTGTTGTAGAGACATAGAGGAGTAGACTTCCAGTAGGAAGTAGAGTTCCAGTACTTGGTGCAATATTTAGTCCTATGCATGTGGTTGTCAGAGCCATGTAAATCTGCATAAGTCTGGAGTAGCTGTGATTTTCATCAGCTCCACAGATTGAATGCCAGGGAAGAAGTTTGCAAAGAAGATAAGGTAGGTTGTGAATCAGACAGATCTGGGACTACATCCCTCCTCTGCCACTCCTTGGATGACCTTGAGAAAGTTAATACTGATCAACATCAGCATTTTCTTGATTAGTAGGTTATTATTTTTTTTAAAGGACTCAGGATATTTTGCCCACTATATATATAGGAACCACGGTGAAAGTATTTTTAATGTTCAATTTTTATGTCTGTGTTATTTATGAGACCAGTGCATTAAAAGAAAAAAAAGTAAAGTATTTCCAAAAGGAAAAGTTTTGTCTATAATCAGGCAAACAATAATTATCTACTATCTTTACATCCAATATTATATTTTGTAGTAGCAAGAAAAATGTATCGAACTTTCATTTCTCGATGTTTTCAAATAAGAGTGCATGTTTAAGAACATGCTTTCTTTATAATGTTATATGACAGCAAGGACTACATTGAAGTTTCCTTGAATTTTTTTTAACTTTTCAAAGATTCTATCACCATGTTATCTAGGCAGCATAACATTAAAGTCTTGGAATTATGCATCTCAAAGGAACTTAGAGGTCATCAGATCCAAGCTCTTCATTTTGGAAAGGAAGAAATGAGAGCTACGAGGTTGCATCACATGTTCTGGGCCACTCTCATACTTGAAAGGAAGATGAATGCCTCTCATAACATTTTTGTAATCACTTTCAGCACAAAGCCCAATTGACATGTTAGAGTTAAAAAAAAAAAAAATACAGCATCCACTCCTAATCACTAAACTGTCAGTGAAAAGGATGGTCTCGTACAAAGGCTAGATGCAGTTCCTACCTTTCTGTGGAGATTAGAAAACTGCAGGGTGAATATGTTCTCAAGAAAACTGTTATTTACAATTACTAAAGACTAATAAATGCAGCATATTTTCAAGCAAATTTAATATGTTCAAAGTCTGTTAATTGGTTGATATCTTTTTCAAACCAAAGAACAAAGATATAGAAAGCAAATAAAAGAAATTGTCTTCTTAGAAAGTGTTAAAAGCTTGTAGCCCCATCCTAACTGTTGTTCCTAATTTGGAGTGGAGAAGAGGAAGATTGTAGAATGTGCTGACTGTGAAATCAGCTGGGCATATACAAATGTTCTCTGTCTTGTCTCTTGAAATGTAAATGATTGTGGGTGCCACTGGACCTACCCAAAGGGCCAGGAAAGATAATGCATTCTCACATGTGAAAATAAAACACTCCTGTCTGAATACATCTTTCCACACAAAAAGATGCATAACTACTAATCTAACACACCAGAAAATGTTACAGCAGAGAGGAACAAAAAGGCAGCATTTAACATTACCAGAAACATAAATTCTTCACAAAAGAGGTGAAAATGACATTCAGGAAAGTAAAAAACTGATCATCAATTTGTAATGTTAAAGTAATTATTAAAATGAAAACTTCAGATTGGAACATACCAATTCATTCAATGAATAAAAGCTGTTTTTCTTTAGAAAAGTCTTCCTTTCCTGTGTTTTTTGTTTGTTCTATTTACAATGATGGGCATCAAGGTCCAAAATATTTTGATACCCTCTCCACATTTTCATGACTCCTAAATCATAAATCTCAACACGGAATTTTAAAAACGATGTTTTTCAGCCTCTTTTACAGCTAAAGTTCAGAAAGCTAACTTAAGAGATGAATTCACATGAGGTAGGTGAAGAAAGATAAGATGCAGGCATCCTTTTTGTTGATATGAGTGTGAACGGAGGAAGAAGGCTCTAAGGTTGATGTGAGAGCAGCCCCCAGCTGTAGTAGAGGCAGCATAATTTGGGGGTAAGGAGTGCTGAGGTTTGAGGTGTAATTATGAGAATTCTTCCCAATGTTTCAACCTAGAGTCTGTTTTACGGTTTTTCACTGGTCTATGAACTTTCTAATATCTTTTAAAACATCCTTCCTTTTTAACCCATTTAGGGTAGACTCTGTTATCTGCAACTGAGAATTCTGATGGATAGACAATGTATTTAAAGAAAAATTTTAAACGCAGTAATTTCAGGAAATTGGTTCTTATTCACTCACGAAAAGAGTAATTTTACATGCGCAATTTCACATCTGTAAGGTTTCTGTTTGTTATGTTCTGGGAAAATAGCTGAATGAAGAATACAAGAAGATTTTTATACTAAGAAAAAGGATGAGTGGTTTTTGGGAGTGTGGAAGGGTACATAAATTGTATTTTACATATTGCTATCCTTAAAAGCTCACTATTAAGCAAAGGCATACTACCAGAATACACACAGACATTAGGGAGTTCGAATGTTTTGTTTTTTTAGTTAGTGATGCTCCCTTTTTAAAATAAAATATATTTTAATTTAAAATAATATAGTAGATATAAACTAAATTTGTATTAAATTAAATGTGCGTATCCACAACAGAATAGTCACATATGTATAAGCTGTTCATAAAGAGTGCATACTTGAAGTATGTCAGAAATGATATATAAATGGAGTTTAAAGAAATGTATTAATATTTAAGATGAATATAATGCACAATAATGCCCAAAACATTTTTATTTCAGATTTTATGACCAGATTTTATGACCAAAAAGTAACTAGTTCAACTGAAGACTTTATAAAGTCTGAGAAGAAAATTTAAAACTGTAATTGTTTCTTTCAAATTTGTAACCCAAGCTATTAAAGCTTAAAGCTGCAAGTGCTTAGTGGAGGTGCTAAATAATTGTGGTTCCTATATGAAAGCTTGAAATAATACAAATTGATTTTGAGGAATTACTAGCATGTTAAGTGACAAGCCATCTCCAAATTCAGCAGAATCAATGCATTATTTAACCTCTTGGAAGGTACCTGGGAAACAAACTTCTGAGAACTCAGATTTGAAGTCTTTGAAAGGCAAAGAGACCACAAGGACTGTTTGGATGGGGACCAGGATTTTTTTATTTTAATTAGGTCTTTCAGCATTTGTAGTGTTAATAATTTTATAAGTTCCTAAATTTTTGTCTGCCCTCAGCCTAGGGCAAGGAGATTCCTAGTGAGTTTGGAAAGCAGGAAGCTCCCCAGGAGAGGGCAGCATCACACAAGAGGCCAAGCCCATAGCCACAAGGACCCCAGGATGGTTCATAGGAATGAGAAATAAAAGACATCCAAGAGGACAGCTTCCCTGGGGTGTTAGAAATGAAGTCAGAAAATTGCCAGAGAGAAATTGGAGCAGTTCAATAAACATTTAATTTAAGAAGTTTATAGGATGGATGATAGACAAGTGTGATTGCTGTGGTGACTATTTTCTAAACAGTGAAACTGCAAATACCTTGCAGTCTGTTAAAAGCAAGGGCACTGATAAGTATGACAGGATAACATATTTGGCATAGATGTTGTTCTGGAAAATTCCAGATTTATGGCCTCACAGAATAAAAAACTGAGAGTTGGGGTTTTAATGCCAGTTCAGGTCCCTCCTTCTCCTAAAGGGATTCACTCTGAGGTAACAGCTGATGGAGAAATGTTTGGTTCCTGAAGAGAACATATTCCTGATGCTGATGGAAGACTCTGATAGGAAAGAGAATTGGAGGGAGGAGGGAATATCAAACAGAAAGAAAAGGGACAGAGAATGGTTGGTTGAACTGGAGTGGGGAGAAATAAAGAAAAGAGCCAGAACAGGGATGCTTAATTTGGTAAGTGAAAGTTGCTAAGACCCACTGATTCAGTTATGAGATAACAGGGGAGGATTATGGCTAATTTTTCTTTTTCATTGTGCTTTTTTGTGTCTTCTGCACTAAATACCTCTGTAATTAGGTGGGAAATCCAAACAATCAACGTTATCATTGCAAATACATCAAGGACAAGTACCTTCTGTACTGGGTGGCCAATCTTGTCCATCTCCACTTGAATCTCCTTCACTAATCAATATGGAATGACTATATTCATCATCTTGGTCGAAATCCTGAAATATCACAAAATAAAAATTCACTTATTCAATATAATGCTTTGTGATTAGGGTGAATGTTGGATTTTCTGGGCTAAAGTTTTATATTGTGGATTCCATTTCAGTTGGATCCAGTATTGAAGACTAAACTAATGGGAAAGAATATGTCTCTGGAGCAACAGGCTCAAGCAGATGTGGATGTGATTAACTGTATAATAATAAATGAAGCTCAACGCTGAAATCACAGACACACAGAAATTCAATATTTTGAAAGTCCAGGCTGCTAAGCTGCTATAATTTCTGTCTGGATGGATAACTGGAAAGAATCCTTTGACCACAGTCACAAGTGAACAACCCCAAAGAAACATGATCTTTTTCATAACGTTTCACTGGGGCATCATTTAAAAATGGTGAAGGTAGAAATCCCTGACCCATCAGAGTTTTTACTGTGACAGCTTTCTGCTCTAATTACAGCACACACCCTCTCAAACTTGATTTTTACCCTCTAGAAAGCAATCATTATGCTGAAAGACATAGCTAAAAGACCACTAACTTGTCCTCCTAACTTCCTAAAGAAGAAATGTTCTCTTATCAGGATTTTTTTCATTGATAGGTAAATTCATTAGAAACTGTTGCTGGTGATTTTGACCTTTTTAATTTCTGAAAAAATGAGAGATGCAAATATTAACTAAAATATCCCACCACAACCTGGGTGTTGCAATTAGTTCTCTGACTTCTACTATCTAGTGAACCACCTCTTTAAGGAGACTGCTGGATAAAAAGATTTTGTCCTAAAAGCACATGCCTGTCAGACAAGGGTAATCTTTATTATAAATCTCTGATATTTCATTCATTAATTCCCAAAAGAGTTTGGCAATCTTTTTCCTCCACACTTTGCCCTTTTTATTAGTCACAGAAAATAATAAAAATAAAATTTTACATTTATACTGCCATCAAAAAATATTTTAGGTATTCAATTATAATAACTTAGTTGTCACACCTTACCTTTATGTAGCACTTAATGATTTTTAAAACATTTTCTACTTCCTGGCAAAGGAAGCAGACCATCCTAGTTGCCAATGCAAATGGGAAAGCTGGATTGGTTCACTCTGATGTCAAATTATTAGAAATTTTACTCTTATCTTTTTCTGTATTTCAAAAATTCTACCACTATCTGGCAAATTTCTTTTCTGCTCCCCTGCAGAAAACCCAATTTGGTGCCCCCCTGCACCAACCCAATTACTAAGGGGGAGGATTACTCTTTTTAGAATGCATGCAAATACATAAAAGGACTTCTAAAAAAGTAGGAGGAAAAATTACATATAATTTCACAAATAAAAAGCAAACACTGTTAAAATAAAAGCCATATTTCCTTGGCTTTTTCCCTAAGTATTTAAAAATATAATTTCATCATGTATTTTTTATTAATTATTTTCAAATAATTTTAACAGATATTGACTATTCAAAATAAAAATAATAAAATTGTTACATGTGAAATGATACAGTCACACTTAGTGGTAGCCAGTGATAGGTAAATATATACACTCTTAAAGTAATCAATAAATGAAAATAAAATATAGTTATATGCTAATGAGTCAAGATTGGGGAAAAATGGAATTATAAAAAATATTTGGCCTAAAAATAGGCAGGGAAAGAGTAAAGGGGAACAAAGCATAGATGGTCTGTAAGAAAATAAGTCACAAAAGCATCATATAATTTTGTATCTGACTTTTTCACTTAAGTATAAATTACATAGCATTTTACGAAGTAAACATCATTTCAATGGAATTTTAAAAAATTTCCCTGCATGCATATCAGAGGATCACAGGCGTTTAGTAAACCCTGTGAGTCTTGTAAGTACTACATTGCTTACTAGGTCACTTTTAATTACTCATTATTACACATAGTGCTGGGAACATCTTTGCAATTAATAACCCAATTTTGCATTATTTCTTTAGGATGGATTTTTAGATAGGGAATTGATCCAAAGTGCATGAAATTTTGAAGTGCTTTTACACAAATTGCTTTAAAAGTAGAGTTTATATTTAATACACTCCACCAGCAGTGCATGCATTTCCCTATAGCTTCTCCCTTATCAATTATCATCACTTTTTTATTTTTAGTAATACAATATATGGCATTAGTCATTTTATTGTTGTTTGAATGTGCATACTATCATTAGTAGAAAAGTTGGAGATTGTTTCAGTTGCTTATTGATGGGTGAATTTTTCTTTTTAGCATATATAGTTTTTGTTCAGATTCATCTCCATGAGACCGCAAAATATATTTCTAGCATTTCATATAATTACAGTGATTCAATGAAATGTTTATGTTAAACTTTGGAAAACAGCAGTCCTCATTTGGGTGGCATAAATGTGTAACTGGTTGTCATGTCAGGATTTTATGTTGGTTCATGGACTATGGTCAGTCTCACTATTAGTTGTTCCTTTAGGAAAAATTGGAAGATGCAGAGTGTGGGAACAGCCACCTATAAGATCCATAACCATTTACACATATATTGTCAGCCACTGTTCCATGCTCCTTACATATATTAACTAATTTAATCCTCACACAAACTCTAAAGAAGACAGACACTACTGTCTTCTTTTTACACATGAGGCCCAGAGCACGTAAGTAACTTACAAAGTCCACAAACTAGCCTGTTATAGAGCCAGGACTCACATCCAGACTCTGAAGTCTGGTTCCAAAGCTCTTAACCACTGTTTTCTTGCTACTATGAAAAGTTCAAAACAGAATCTCAATAAGAGCCAAAAAGAAAAGAATCAGTAACAATGAGCAAAATTAAGAGAAAGGTTGCACAAATGTAATTTATGAGTTCCACAGAGGAAGAAGTTAAAGATGTGAGATAGCTACAAGTACCTGACAAAAATTTTTCCCAGAGAATAAAGTGAAGAGTCATCAGCATCACAAACAAAAGGTATGTGGGGAATAATAACTAGTTTGAAGAAATAAAGAAATACAGAGGCTATGATAGAAACAACACAGGATTTTTAAATTTATTTTAGAATGTTAAAATGAAAGACTAAGATGTACCTGGGTGGCACAAGGAGAAGAGAAATAAAGACACTCAGTTGCGAGTACAGGAGGAAAATATTAGAACAGCATATCCCAAACATAGATGGATTTCATAAACCTGACAATAGCGCCAGAGGTAACACTAGATAACAATAGATTAGACATATAACACCGCTTTCTCATCTGCAGACCACAGGATGCCAAACATACAGAAGAGAAAAAAGGCATAGAAATTGTAAGTAACCTCCTTAGATGGGGAGGTTCTATAAAGAGACTCTCAGGAGCAATCTCACAAGCAAGGCAGCTGCTTATATTTGTAAACCATAAAAACCTGTTCAGACAACCAAAAAGAAAATGAGCTTTCATTCAAAGAATAAAAGTGAAGGAAGACCTTGAGTTTTGCAATTTAAGCCTTAGAGAAAACATCAGAGAAGAAAAGGCAAGTTCGGGAGTGAAAAAAGCCCATTTCTTCCTCAGAAATAAGTTCAAGGTTATTTCAATCATAATATTAAAAAATAGGGTAAAGGCTAAAAAAAAAGTTTTCAAGTTGTGTGAAAGAAATGCATTAATATGAAGGAATTTTTAGTGCTTTTAAAAAAGAAAATTGTTTAAGTATACCTTAAAAATTAAACATTTTTATTTATAGATTTTTATTATTTTTTTCTTACATCATTCTTCATTTCTGTTCAATATTTGCTATCTCCCTCCCCTCAGATGTAGACCCTATAATAGTTCTCCCAACACCATCACCCTCATGATCCATCACCATAGCTCCTTGGACCCTTCCTTCCCCTCCCTCCTATTTATCCATTTTTAATATATGACACTCATTTTAAACATTGGTCTCTAGGTATTTATGTAATATTAGTAACCCCAAACAATACAACCTTTCATGTGGTGACAAAAGCTACTACATAGCAGGGTTTCTCACTCTCAACACTACTGACATCTGGGACAAGACAATTCCCCAAACTGGGGGTGTTTGGGGCTGTCCTGCACATTGTATGAAGTGGAGCGGCACCCCTGGCCTCAGCTCACTAGATGCAGTAACATCTTTGCCCAGTTGTGACATCAAACATGTTTCCAAACATTGCAAATGCCCCTGAGGGACAAAATCATCCCCTGTTGAGAAACACTTTGCTACAGCAACGTTGGTAAGCTGACTGTTTAGAAATATTATAATGCACAAAAGTAAAATACTCAAATGTATTTAGAAAATACATCTATATTTAGAAAAATGTATTTAGACAATAGTTACCATTGTACATCATCCCATCCCATGCCCCAGAAATGATTTAACCATTTCTGTATTTTAAATTTTTAATAATAAATTTTATTTTTATATTCCCCATACAATTGCAACCCCCCCATTCTGACCCCAATCCCTCCCCTCCCGACCACACCCCCCAAAAGGTGTCTCTGGTTCATAGTTTTTTGTTGATTTTGATTTTCACTTTCTTATAGTTATTCATTTTCCTGGTCCCTTTTTTAAGTTTTCTAGATTCCTGCTATGAGTGAGACCATCCGGTATTTTTCTTTTTCTTTCTGGCTTATTTCACTGAGCATGATCCCTTCCAGCGCCATCCATGTTGCTGCAAATGGCATGTGTTTACCTTTTTTGAATGCTGAGTAATATTCCATGGTATATATGTACCACACCTTCTTGATCCAGTCATCTATTTTTGGGCACTTGGGTTGTTTCCAAACCTTACTATTGTAAATAGTGCTGCTATAAACATAGGGGTGCAGGTGCTCTTTGGAATTGATGTTTCTGTGTCCTTTGGGTAAATACCTAGGAGTGGAATTGCTGGATCATATGGAAGCTCTATGTTTAGTTGGTCCAGAAATCTCCACACAGCTCTCCATAGTGGTTGGACCAGTTTGCACTCCCCCCAACAGTGCTGAAGAGTTCCTTTTTCTCCACACCCTCGCCAACATTTGTTGTTGCTAGTTTTTTTAATATGTGCCATTCTCACTGGTGTGAGATGGTATCTCATGGTAGTTTTGATTTGCATTTCCCTGATTACAATTGATGTTGAACATTTTTTCATATGCCTGTTGGTCATTTGCATTTCCTCTTCAGAGAAGTTTCTTTTTAGCTCTTCTGCCCATTTTTTTGACTGGATTATTTTCTTTGTTGTTGTTGAGTCTCATCAGCTCTTAGTAGATTTTTGTGATCAGTCCTTTATCATTAGTGTTGGGTGCAAAAATGTTCTCCCAGTTGGTGGGGTTTCTCTTTGTTTTTGTTATTGTCTCTTTTGCTGTGCAGAAGCTCTTTAATTTGATGTAGTCCCAGCTGTTTATCTTTGCCTTCACTATCACTGCTTTGGGTGATGTGTCTGTAAAGATGTCTTTGATGTGAATATCACGTAGTGTTTCGCCTATATTTCCTTCTATGTATTTTATGGTTTCAGGTCTTATGTCTAGTTCTTTAATCCATTTTGAGTTGATTTTTGTGTATGGTGTGAGGTAGTGGTCAAGCTTCATTCTTTTGCATGTAGCGACCCAGTTTTCCCAGCACCATTTATTGAACAAACTTTCTTTGCTCCAATGCATAGTCTTTGCTCCTTTGTCAAAGATTAGTTGACCACAAATCTGTGGGTTTATTTCTGGATTTTCTATTCGATTCCATTGGTCTGTATGTCTGTTCTTGTTCCAATACCATGCAGTTTTGATGATTATGGCTTTGTAGTAGAGTTTGAAGTCTGGGAGTGTGATGCCTCCATTCCTTTCTTTTTTTTTCAGGAGAGCTTTAGCTATTTGGGGTTTTTGGTGATTCCATATGAATTTCATCAATAATTGTTCTATTTCTTTGAAAAATGACATTGAAATTTTGATTGGGATAGCACTGAATCGGTATATTGCTTTTGGTAGGATGGCCATTTTAATAATGTTTATTCTTCCAATCCATGAGCAGGGGATGTCTTTCCATTTCTTTGTGTCTTCTTCTATTTCTTTTAACAGTGTTTTATAGTTTTCTTTGTATAGGTCCTTTACCTCTTTTGTTAGATTTATTCCCAAATATTTGATTTTTTTTTTTGTTTCAATAATAAAAGGGATGGTTTTTTTTTTATTTCTTCTTCTTCAGATTTATTCTTTGTGTATAGGAAGGCTACTGACTTTTGCGTGTTGATTTTGTATCCTGCCACTTTACTGAACTGATTGATGAGTTGAATTAGTTTTTCTGTGGAGTTTTTGGGGTTCTCTATGTATATTATCATATCATCTGCAAATAGTGATAGTTTGACTTCTTCTTTTCCTATTTGGATTCCTTGGATGTCTTTCTCTTGTCTTATTGCTCTGGCTAGGACTTCCAGTATTATATTGAAAAGCAGTGGTGAGAGTGCACATCCTTGTCTTGTACCAGATCTTAATGGAATTGCTTTCAGCTTTTCACCATTGAGAATGATACTGGCTGTTGGCTTGTCATATATGGCCTTTATGATGTTGAGGTATGTTCCTTGTATCCCAAGAATTTCAAGGGCTTTTATCATGAATGGGTGTTATACTTTGTTGAAAGCTTTCTCGGCACCTATTGATAATATCATATGGTTTTTATATTTCTTTTTGTTGATGTTTTGGATAATGTTGATTGATTTTAGGATGTTGAACCATCCTTGTGTCCCTGGAATGAATCCTACTTGGTCGTGGTGAATTATCTTTGTATTTTAATTTTTAATTTTACTTTTTAATCGAACTAATACATTTAAAAAAATCCAGCAATAGTAAAATACACAGTAAAACGGTTTTCAGTTTCCCTGTCCACTATGCCTCAGAGGCAACAACTTTTAACCTTCTAACTATTTCTTTTGGTATTTCCTTCCACAAATCTATATATTTATCCTGCTGGCCCTTGGGTCATCAACATAAGATATTATCTATTAGCTTCTTTTTTTAAAGATTTATTTATTTATGCATGCAAGAACTGGGTTCTAGAAGCCAGAGATGGGGGGGGGTGAGAGGATTCCCCAGAGACAGAGTGGGGAACAGAACAGGCAGATTGAATGAAATACACTGCTGAGGGAGGAGCAGCAGTGTGAGGGATCCAACTTGCGCTGCAGTGGCTGCAGATAGCTTCACAGTGCTGTGTCTTTTTTTTTTTTTTTTTAAATTTTCTAGAGGCATGTCTTATTTATTTATTATTTGTTTGTTTGTTTGGTTTATACATGCACTGGGTACAGTCAGAAGCGCGGGAGGGTGAGAGAATTCACCAGAGCCAGAGCGGGGAGCAGAGCAGGCAGAAGGACCGAAGTACACTGCTGAGGGGAGCAGCGGGCGGCAGGAGAGGTCTGCTCGCCATGTGGGACCCTCCTCCTGTGGCCGGGGAGCAGCCGGGGATTGAACCGGCTGCAGAGGCTGCAGGCAGCTTCGCAACCCAGCGCTCAACCGCTGCGCCACTGGGGAGGCCCACAGTGCTGTGTCTTAACCCCTTGCACCCCAGGGAGGCCCAATTAGCTTTTTACTGTAGCGGGCAATATTCTTATAACTCACCCCATCTTCCCAATAAATTCACCCTCTTTTTTCTTATATCAATGATCAAAGTTCAAGTTATGAGTACATGGGTAGATAGTAGTACAATATTGTGTAATATATTTTTTCCTTGTATAACTTCTTTTCCTGCATAAAACCACAAACCCTTTTTATGTGTTTGTTTTACTTGTTTTCTATTTCTTTATTTTTTTAAAGATTTATTTATTTATGCATACAAGAGCTGGGGTACAGGCCAGAGATGCGGGGGGCGGGGAGTAAGAGGATTTACCAGAGACAGAGTGGGGAACAGAACAGGCAGACTGACTGAAATACACTGCTGAGGGGAGCAGTGGGTGAGACAGGAGATGTCTGCTGCACCATGTGGGTAGCTCCCTGGCTGGTCAGGGATTGAATTCATGCTGCAGAGGCTATGGATAGCTTCATAGTGCTGTGCTCAACCCCTTGCGCCACCAGGGAGGCCCTATTCTATTACTTTTAATCTAAATGTAGCATCCATTCAGAAAAATGCACATATCATTTAAAAAAAAAAGAAAAATGCATGTAAGTGTATAGATTCATGAACTTTCATAAACTGAACACACTCAAGTAACCAGGATCCAGATCAAATAAAAGAATTCTGAGACATAACATACAAATCAAGATCTATAAAAGAAAAAATGAATTGAGTGGTTTTCATCCATATTAAAAAGGCTAAAAAACAAGCCAAGTTATTCACATTGACTAGTAGGAATATTTATAAATCACATATCCAGAATATATGTAGAATTCTCTAAACCTAATAGTAAGGAAACAAATGGTTGAATTAGAAAATGGATGAAAGATCTGAACATAAAATTTATGCTGATGAAGAATAAACGCATGAAAAATGTTTAACATCTGTCAATAGGGAAATGCAAATTAAAACCACAACGAGATGCCACCATACACCTATTTAAATAGTTAAAATAAAAAATACTGGGGTCTCCCTAGTGGTGCAAGGGCTAAGTCTAGCACTATCAAGCTATCTGCAGCAGTGGTTCAATCCCTGGCCAGGGAGCTCACCCACATGGTGCAGCAGATCTCTCCTGTCTCGCCCCCTACTCCCCTCAGCATTGTATTTCAGTCAATCCACCTGTTCTTCTCCCCACTCTGTCTCTGGTGAATCCTTTCACCCCTCCCCCCTGAACCTCTGGTCTATACCCCAGTTCTTTTATACATACACAAATAAAATAAATCTTTAAAAAAAATACTGACAGTACCAAATGCTGGTGAGGGTGCAGGGAAACTGGACCTCTCATTCTTTGTTGGTGGGAATCTAAAATGGTAACTCCACTTTAGAAAACTGTGTGGCAACTTGAAAAAGGTTAAACATACATTTACCATATGATCCAGCAACTGAACTCTTGGGCATGCACCCTAGAAAAATGAAAACATACATTCACAAAAAAATCTATACATGAATGTTCATGGTAGCTTTCTTTGTAATAGCTCCAAACTGGAAAAAACCCAAATATCCTCCAACAGATAAATGGCTAAATAAACTGTGGGACATTCACACCATAGAATACTAAGAAATATAAATAAAGTATATAAAACATATAAATATATAAAGTATCTAAGATGCAGCTATTTTCAACTACATATCAACTGTTGTGTTTTATAAAAATTCAAAAGGTGCAAATGAGTATACAGTGCAAAGTTCATCTCTAATTCTGTCACTGCAGTCAACCACTGCTAACAGCTTGTTTAAAGTCTTGGGTATCATTCCACAGTTTTCTATGGAGCAGAGTGTTTGCTACTAGAATTGTTATTATACTATGAGGAACTTTTTGTAGTGTCATCTTCATGGGCAGGGTGTGATGGACAGGGTCAAGAGGTGGCACCTCCTTTGTGGTACCCTGTGATGGATTTGACATGATCAGATTAATGATTTCCTTTTCCATATTAACATACATAAAGACAAGCTACATTTTATTATTTAGTATGGATTCAACTGCAATAATATTCATTGCTATTCAATACACACATGTACTGCATGAGATTGAGAGTTGACGAGCTAATTATTACTCTGGGATAAAACTCAGCACATTGTCTCATTATTTGTGCTTTAAAATTCTTTAAGATTACATTTTAAAATATAATTCTAATATATGATTATTATAAGAGATTTAATCAGCACAAATGAAGTAGCAGATGGAGTAGGTTATCCATTTTATTGTTAGTTTCTCACTTTAAAGAGAGCATCTTACCTCACTGCTGCTGATGCTTTGCAAGATTATATTTTGGTTTTTAGTAACTATCATCATATCAGTAGAAGAAGAATTTGTATCATGACAAATGTCAAGCAATGATTCAGCATGTCTTTCTGCAAAAAGAAACATAATAATGTATTTTAATAAGACTCCTCTCCAGCAATTTCAAAGGAAGATGTAGCTCTAGGTTCTAAAATTGACTCCATTTTGTCAAAGATTTTCCTGAAATAGTGCTCTGAGATCTGAATGAAGTGTTAGGTAATACCTTCCACAGGAAGAGATGGGAGGACAAGAGTTCATAGAGTGGATAGGCTTTTATTTGTCAGTTTTAAAGAAAAAAAGGCTACATTGCTAAGCGAAACCCCTAGTAAGGCTGGACATGACACTTGCTCTATAGTTGCCAAAGACAAAAGCATTTAGTTGCTCTGGGAATACTTCCTGTCTAGCACTTGAAGCCACATTAAACTGACAAAGTTCTGAACACCAAATAGTGAAACTTCAGCTAGTTCTTGAAGGAGATTGCTCTTATATGCATTCTCTCACTATCCTGACATCTTCAAACAAGCATGGACTCTTCCATAATAATTTCTTCCTCTTCCTGTGGTTCTTCCATATATCTTGTAACTGAAACAAAACTGAGTAAGTGGTCCATACTCAAACCCTCCATTTCTTCTCCACATTTTTCTTCTTGAGTCTTGGTAATTTATCTTCTCTCTTTAACCTTCAGTTTAACCACTGAAACTTCCTTACCACATCTATTCTGTGTCCCTTTTCCAATCTGGCATTGTTTTTACTCCTTCCTTCTCACAACCCCCTTCAGATTCTCTTCCTCTCTCCCACTCTCCAGGGCTGGCATACCCCTATCTAACTGTAGGTGCACCTCCTCAGTTCTGCCTCCTGAAATTTTCTCACCATCATTATCTTTCAATGATTTTAACCACTCTCACGTCCTGACAATCACTTTTTAGAGAGAACTCCCAAACTAACATATCAACCCATTCTTTCTCACAAGCACTGTGCTATAAAAAATTGCTACTTGAAAGTTCTAAGGTTCCACTAAATTGAATGGAATGGAATCAATATCCTCACCAGAGTGTCTCGTACTCTGGTTGGCTATATCTCCAGCTCCTCTCTTTGTGGGGTTGAAATTTTGGAATCACCTTTGATTCAGCTCTCTTCACCTTTGTCTTCATATGCTTTATTTATCTTACATTACTAAGTTCTGTGATATCTTTCATACTATCTCTTAGATTCACCAAACCCAGGTCCTCTCACTCCCACCAATACACCATGTCCAAAGACTCTTGCTAGTTCCTACCATCACACAAATGGACACTTCTGTGGTTTCTTCATAAAGTTCTCTATCATGAGTTTTTCCCCTTGAATTCATTTGTACAATGAGAACAGATTAATTTTTATAAAGCATGACTTTCATCCATTTTCTGGCTGAAAATTCCTTAAAGACTCTATTTTAATAATAAAAAAAAATGTCTTTCTGCCTGACAATTAAGGCTCACCCTCAATAGACGGTTAGTCATATATCTAGTTGTATGCATTTCTTTTCCCTGACATGAACTTTCAGTTTCTGTCTCCGCATTGTCCCAGGGATAAGCCATTCTCATTTATACCATGGTACCTCTGCTCTACAAAATTGAATCTCACCCTTTTCAATGACCATATTGAGTCTCACCTCCTCCATGAAACCTTTTTAGGTATATCCTTACTTCTTGTCCAGAAGCTTCACACAAAACACCAATTAATCAAGTCAAGCAAATTTCACAAAGCTAAATGTTGCTCAGTGTTACTTTTTCATTATACTTTTCTCTGGACATTTTTATATCTTTTCTCAGTCTTTTCCTCCCCACCTATGTCAAACCTGAGTGTTTTGTTTTTTTTTTCCTATCCATATCTTACCCAGACTTAAAGAACCACCAAAGTTCCTATTCCTTTTTCAAATTCAAAACAAGTGCTTTCTTTTCTCACTTAAGTGATTTGTCCCTGATCATAATGAACACTTTCAAAAGTTTGGACTATCTCCCAGAGTATCTAGTTGGTGGTTTGATTTCTTTAAATGGGCCTATCACATACATGTAGAAAAAAATAAGATTTCTAATAAGGTTTTTATATTTGGGGAATGTTGCAAAGGTATAGAAATATTTACCTGGTTTTGGCATAGAATTCATTAGAATGTCCAATAACTCCTGTTTCTTAAAACTCTCTATTTGTGACACATAATGTATTGCTGATTTTCCACTAAAATCACAAAGTTTAGGGTCTCTAGGAAGAACAAAATCAACATTAGAGACTAAATAATAGTTGAATCTGTTGAATGAGGAAACCAATAGAGGAAACACTGATATAAAATAAATAAATAATTTTCTGTAGTTGCAGGATGACAATAGTGAATTTGAAATGTATGAGATACAAAGTGACAATTTCTCAAGACTTTAAAATAAAAAAAAAAAAAAATCGGGCCTCCCCGGTAGCACAGCAGTTGAGCGCTGGGTTGCGAAGCTGCCCGCAGCCTCTGCAGCACCGGTTAGATAGGCCGAGGGTCCCACAGGGCACAGACCTTTCCTGCCACCCGCTGCTCCCCTCATTAGTGTACTTCGTCACTCTGCCTGTTCTACTCTCCGCTCTAGCTCTGGTGAATTCTCTCACCCTCCCACACTTCTGACTGTACCCAGTGCTTGTATAAATAAATCGTTAATAAATAAATAAATAAATAAATAAATAAATAAAAATTTAAAAAAAATCAATGTATCTCATTCCCATTTCAATATTTGCAGAAACTTTCCAACTTTAAATAAAAGTTTTATATAGTACTTGAAGGATGCATAAATCAAGTAAAAATAAAAACATGTTGATAACTGTGTATAGTCCCAAAATAGCTGTCTTGATTGTTTTTTTTCTCCCAATGATTTTCCTAACTACTTACTTTCTTGCAATTTCTTTTTTCTTTTTTTAAATATTTATTTATTTATGCATACAAGAATTGGGGGTAGACCAGAGGTGCGGGTGGTGAGGGGATTCACCAGAGACAGAGTGGAGAACAGAACAGGTAGATCTACTAAAATACACTGCTGAGGGGAGCATCAGGAGGGATTGGAGAGGTCTGCTGTGCCATGTGGGTTACTCCCTGGCCAGTGGGGTACAGGGAGTATCGAACTTGTGCTTCAGTGGCTGGTGATAGCTTGATAGCACTGTGTCTTTAACCTCTGCGCCACCAGGGAGGCCCCACTATTTCTTTTTTCTAATGATAATAACTGGTTCTTTTATCATCCACAATGGTAGAATGGTATGAACTCTCTTTTTAAAATTAAGCTGACATGTTTCTTTCATAGGTTCTAGGTGAAGTGGGATCACCATGACATAAAATTCCCTCTGTGTGATCTTTTCAGGCCTCTTTGTCTGGCACTGGGTTTACTAAATCCAAATGTTGACCTTAAGGTTCTTTGTAGCAACGCAAATATCTTCCTATCCTCTTTCTGCTCTACTGAATCCTAGGATTAGGCATCAGCTAAGAGAGATCCAGAGGCTAAATGATGAGAACATTATTGAAGATTAGGTGAGAGGGAAAAAATGATTAAACTTGTTTTACTAAACACATTCTGGAACAATGAGCAAGTTAGTCTTGACCTCCAACCTAAATCCTTTGAATTTGATTCTCTTTATTGTAAAAGAACAGGGTAATGTCTTATGATACATAACAATATTCTCATATGAACTTTTCTTTATCAAAGGTCATGATTCAAGAGAAACAGCACAGAAACAAGAATTGGGGGACTGATTATACTTTCATATGTAACTTTCAGAAAGTCACTTACTCACTGGTACCTCAGTTTGCTCATCTGCCTTAATTTGCGTTTCTCCACGTAGAATCCTTTTATCTCTTACATTTCGGACTCTACTCCAGGCTCCTTGAATACCATCTCTGTGGTGGTGTCCAGTAATCTATTTACATTTCTAACAATCTTCTCATCTTTTCTTAATAATGAAGTCTTAGGTAACTTCAAACTTCCAATTTCATCCTATTTCACAAACTGATTCTTTTATAATAACTCATGTTCCTGACTATTCTTTTGTTCTTAAATCTCACTCTTCCTTTTTTCTTTTCTAAAACAAAGTTCATACATATATTGAGAAATACTGAGCAAGAGCTTGGGCTATTTGCTCTGATCTGATGACAAGTTATCTAAGTAACAAACAGCATTAGAAAACAACAATTTTTTTTTTTTAGAAAACAATAATTCTAACATGGGAGATTGCTTATTAATTCTAAGAGTTTTTTTTATTATTTATTTCCCCCTTATTAAAAAAATGTTGGCATACAGTAATTTTAAAATAACTGGTAATCACTTTTATAAGTTGCTTTTGAAAGACTGAGAATGCTTTTTGAGATAATTAGTCACATCTTGGGTATAGGGAGTTGCATACTTGAGAATTATTTGACATTCACAGTAACTATCAAAACGAGTATTTAAGAAAAATAAAACAAAGGGCCAATAGAATAAAAATAATAGATAGCTATATCTGGCATCTGTATTCACTTTATGATGTAAATCACTTCTTGAAGTCCCTTCTACAAATATGCATATAAATTTAATACATAACTTAAAGAACTTTAAAACATGTATATACAAATTAAAATATATAAATATAATAAATATATAAAATATGTAAAATATATAAAATATAATATATATACACATTTAACACATATATTACAAATGCCTTCTGTAAATAATAATAGTTTAGATGCTCTTCCACTGGTGCTAGCTGATGACTCATACTCACGCATGATGCCTGAGGAGCTCAGACAGAACTTCCACTGGTCTGTAAACTGTTAACATATCAATATGCTCAAAGAGGTCCACATCCCTCACAGCCAGCATCAGAGGGGTTAAGCCATGTTGGTTTGGGAAATTTATATCCAGGAACTCTTCAGATGCCTTTAAAAACATGAAGATTTATTTTTGTTATGTTTTTACTACAAGGCTATTTATACTGATATTTTCATTTTCATTGCTTGGCCAAACTCTCATTTTAACATCAATATATTCTTTCTCAATATTTATTTAATCTAGGAGAAAGCTGATGAGGTGAAAACACACGGCTGAGAGACAGACAAATCTGGGTTTGAATTTCAGCTTCCTTAATATGTTTTTATAAATCTCTGATAAGGTTTTATCAAGGACACTTTTTCTTTTTAAGATTATGTTTTTTTTTGCTGTTTTTTTTTTCAGAGATTTTATTTTATTTATTTATACAAGCCCTGGGGTATAGCCAGAAGCGGGGGAGAGTGAGAGAATTCACTAGAGCCAGAGCAGAGAGCAGCACAGGCAGACCAGCGCTCAACTGCTGCGCCGGGGGAGGCCCCAATGACACTTTGTTAAAGGTGATGAAATCACTCTGATAAAAAAGGGGGGGGCAACAGTTAAACAATGAACAATTTTAACATAAGACATAATTGTACTGAAAAATTATTTGTCATTTATCTGAAATGCAAATTTAACTGAATGTCCTGTATTTCTATTTGCAACCCTCTTTACTGACCTTCAGAGTCCTTGGCAGTAAAGTAGGAATAATATTTGCAGTATTGTTTTGATGATTAGAGATAGAATATGAAATACACCAAGCAGATTATTTGACACATGCTCAAAAAAGCAACTGTGGAATGAATGAATGATTTACAATAATAAGGCAACTCATTTAACTATATAGACCAATGGAGGTGGCTATATAGACTTATTTGTTGTTTAATGAAAATTAAATTTAATTTGGAAAATTCAGAGCTAGAAAGTTACTGGAAGGCCAATTACACAAATTGTTAATTTTATACATCAAAGTAACTCATTAATCTCCATCTCTCTTTCACTTTATGCCATGTCAATATAGTCAGTGTCTCCACCTCAGTTTCTCTAGAGACACACTAGAGATAATGATATTACCTCAGAGGGGTGTTGTGGGAATTAATTAGTTAATATTTTTTTCAGGCTCTGAAAAGAAACCATCTTTTACATCAATGTTTATTATTAGTTATTAGAACCAAGATCAAAACTTTGAGCTGAGAATAGTCTTGCAATAGCACATTAATTCAGCATCCATTGTTTAAACTCAACTGCTAATTTTTAAGGCTAAAATATGTGTTATGAAAAAATACATAGGATGACAATAATTGATGCAAATGAAACACTGTATTTATTAAGATTGCTAAGCTCTAGTTTATGACATGAAAATTTTAGATTGTTCTTTAATACAACGAAAGGATTTAGATTTTGTTGTATATCTCCTTGAACCCTAGGTAACCAGATTATCTTTCCCTTTTTCTTTATCTGTTTGTGTCTCTACTATAAGGGAATGGAAGAAACTGTTTCCTAGCAGCAATTGATTTTCTCTCAGTTGGAAGGTCATGTGATCTGACAGTATCTCTGAAAGTAAATGCCAAGAGTAGGCAGTTGCCAGTCACTCATAATTAATGTCCTTGGTTATGCATATGGTTTTGCACATTATTTTAGGACAGAGTACCTAGGGTAGAAAAATGTAAACAAGTAGATCAATACCCAAGAAGACAGCTTTTAAAAAAATGTATCCTTTTCATTTCTTTAATCACAACTAATGCAAAGCATAGGCTTTCTGATTCCATTTTCAGGATAAAGATAACTGGTCTAAAGGGATCTAAACAGCAATTGTACAAATGGCAATGATGTCAAGGGAACTCTTCTGAGCAAGATGACAGTAGCTCTCCAGAGAATTCGAGGTGCATATCATTTCCCTGGGGTGCTTGCATGACTTCTTCTAGCATCCAGCTAGAGGAAGGTAGAAATAGGCTGCTGCTGTGTTCTTTTATTATCTTGTTTTCCACCCCAGTGTCCTGTTTGATCCTATTTCTTTCTCACATTTCCTGCCTGAAACTCTCTGAGACTATATTTGAAAAGAACTTATTTTCTTTAATAGGAGTCATTTGTAGTCTGAACCCTTCTTACCTCCCACTTACCCACCCAAAGGCAGAAGCAAACATCAGTGTAACTAACCAGCAAGTGTTGAAGTTGTTCAAGATCACCTTGCCATGAACTTTGTAGAAGCTGCCTTTGGGGAGCGTGGATTCCATTGATCGACAAGAGTTGTCTTTGCACATCACAATTAGCGACATGGACTGCAGTTTGATTGCTGTAATTGCAAAGGGTAATATCTGCTCCCTTTTCCAGAAGAAATTCAACAACCTGCAAGACCACAACATTCATATTTAGTATTTTTTAGTATCAACAGTGTCTTCAGGGCTGGACAGAAAACTTAGATAGATGTAGTTCTGGTCTATAATATAGGAAAGGAGAATCAGAGGGGAATAAAAATGAATGGTTGATTTTGATGTAGGTTACTACCTTTTCCCACAATTTTGCAAAATAAAAATTTCCAAGATATGGGGCCTCCCCTGGTGGCACAGCGGTTGAGCGCTGGGTTGCAAAGCTGCCTGCAGCCTCTGCAACACCGGTTCGATCCCCAGTCACCGGGTGAGTGTCCCACATGGCACATAGACCTCTCCTGCCGCCCGCTGCTCCCCTCAGCAGTGTGTTTCGTCAGTCTGTCTGTTCTGCTCCCTGCTCTGGCTCTGGTGAATTCTCTCACCCTCCCACGCTTCTGACTGTACCCAGTGCTTGTATAAATAAATAAATAAATCTTTAAAAAAATTTCCAAGATATGGATGGTTTGGGGATGTTATTTTTTGTATCATATTAAATTTATTTTCTTACATTGTTGTTCATGTTTGTACAGTATTTGATTCCTCCCATCAGGTGTAGTCCCCACAGTTCTCCCACCACCATAGCATCCATGTGCTCCTTCCTTCCCTGTTTTGACCTCTCTCTCTTCTGCTGTTTACCTCATATGTATGGTCACCTTGCAGGTTTTGTCTTTTTCCTGACCCTTTGGTTGTTCTCTATATAGTTCCACATACAAGTGAAACCATTCGATATTATCTTTTTCCTTCTGACTTATTTCATTTAGCATTATGGGAATGCTATTTTTTTAAGAACCAGAGATCTGTGAGTATTTCATGTTAAATCCATTGAAGTTCTATTAGCATCACCTACAATTTTGAATGTAACCCCCCCCCAATTCAGGCTTATAGATTCTTGAATGTTGCCAGTATTTACACAAGTATTTCTAGGGAGAACAATACACTCTATTCAAAATGGTGAGGCATAATTGATTCAACAAATATGGACTGACTGACTAATGTGTATAAAGAACTATCCTTGGTGCTGAGACTCCAAATGGACAAGATGTGACAATCTTTTAAGGAATTTATAATTTAGTGAGGAACAGAGATAGATAAAAAGGCAATTTCCACACAGTGAGATAAATGTAATTATGAAATAAATACGGAAGACTGAAGGGGCACTTGAAAGAAAGTGATTTTTCAGTAGAGAACTAAAGGATCAGATTCACATAACCAGGCAAAGATTAGGAAAAAGATCATTTCAAGGAAAGTGCCATGGATGCCATGATCTGAACTATGTCCCCTCAAAATTCATACTTTGAAGCCCAAATCTCCAATGTGACTGTATTTGGAGAGAGGATCTCTAAGGATATGAGGTTAAGTAAGGTCATAAGGATGGGACCCCCACCCAATCTGACAGGATTAGTCCTTATAAGAAGACATCAGAGTTTGTGTGTTCTTTTTTGTCAAATGAAGACACAAAGAAAAGGCAAGCCATCTTTAAGTCAGGAAGAGAGCTTTCACCAGAAACCAAACCAGCCAGAACCTGGATCTTGCATGGCCCAGTCTCTAGAATGATGAGAAAATAAAATTCTATAGGTTAAACCACCCAGCTTATGGCATATTTGTTATGAAAGCCTAAGATGATCAATTCAGTGGACAGAGGACAACTAATATTAGAGAGATGGATAAAGTTAAGTATGGATTAAATTCAGAAGGGGAGAAAGAAATGTGATAGAGAAGTCATCAGTAGCTAAATACTGAAAGGTCTTACCAACTTAGGGTTGTGTTCTTATGGCAATGAAGAATCAGTAAAGATTTTAAGATTTTAAGCAGGGAAATTTCATGTTGAATAAAACAGTTTTAAAAAATCATTCTAACTGCTTAAATAGATTGATATGGGGAAAATGGAAGGGAGACTTATGAGGAGATTACTGTAGTAGCTTCATAGAGAGATATTGGTGATTGAATAAAGGAAGTGGCAGTAGAAATGAAGTGTTTGAGGGCAAGACCAGAAACACTTAGGAGGTAGAAATGATTAATTGTGAGAGCAGACATTAAGCCAGAAATCAAAGATAATGCCTAGATTTCAGGTGACTTTTGTCCATTTTCCCTACTGCCACTGCAGTCCAGGCTACCATGATCTCTTGCCTGAACCAATGCAACAGCCTGCTAACAGGTCTTTTTATTTCCAAATGCTTTTACAGGAAATCCATTATATTGACTAAAATTAAAAAGTCAGATAACAACAGCTAGTGTTGGCAAGGATGTGGAGAAATCAGAAACTTAATACACTGTTGGTGGAAATGTATATGATATAGATCCTTTGAAAAATTTGTTTGGCACCTTAAGTGTTTAAACACAGTGTTATATGACTCAGCAATTCCACTCCTAGGAATATTAGGAGGCCAAATGAAAAATAAAGGAAAATATATGACCGTAACAGAATGTATACATAAATACAACTTTCATTGTAGTTAAATGATTAAAAACAACACAAATTTCCATAAATGAATAAATGGATAAATACAATGTGATGTAGTCTTATAATGGGATATTATTCTGCTATAAAGAGGAATAAGTACTGCTACATCCAATGACATGGATAAACTGTGAAAACAGCTAAGTGAAAGAAGTCAATTACAAAAAATTACATACTATATAAATCCATTCATAGGAAAGCCTAGAATAGGAAAATTGATAGACATACAGAAGGAAAAAGATAAATATCCTATCAGATGATCTCACTTGTATGTGGAATACACAGACACAAAACAAAATATCAAGAAAAAGGGGCCTCCCAGGTGGTGCAAGGGGTTAAGTTGCAGCACTATGAAGCTATCCTCAGCCACCACAACAGGAGTTCAATCCCCAGCCAGGTTGCTGGCCCACATGGCGTGCCAGACCTCTCTTGTCTTGCCCACTGCTCCCCTTAGCAGTGTATTTCAGTCAATCTGCCTGTTCTGTTCCCCACTCTGTCTCTGGTGAATCCTCTCACGCCCCACACCTCTGGCCTGTACCCCAGTTCTTATATGCATAAATAAATAAATAAAAATTTTTAAAAAAGATCAAGGAAAAGACAAAACTAGCAAGCCGACCATAGATCTGAGGCACACAGTAAGGTCGGGGAAGAGAGGAGGGCCAAAACAGGGGCAGGATGAACACAAGAGAATGTGGTGATGGTTCATGGGTGCTATGGTGGTGGGAGAACTATGGGGACTACAATGATGTAAGAAAATAGCTAAAAAAGAAAATTGATAGACATAGAAATTACATTAGTGGTTGCTTAAGATTGGGGTGGGGAAGAGGACAGGGAGTGATAGCTAAAGGCAATGGGGTTTCCATTTTTCTGTCTTTTTTTTTTTGAGGGGTTGGGGAGTTCTTTTTGAGGTGATAAAATGTTTTAAAATTGACTGTGGGGCCTCCCCGGTGGCGCAGCGGTTGAGCACTGGGTTGTGAAGCTGCCCGCAGCCTCTGCAGCGCCGGTTCGATCCCTGGCTGCTCCCTGGCCACCAGAGGAGGGTCCCACATGGCGCGCAGACCTCTCCTGCCGCCCGCTGCTCCCCTCAGCAGTGTACTTGGGTCCTTCTGCCTGCTCTGCTCCCTGCTCTGGCTCTGGTGAATTCTCTCACCCTCCCACGCTTCTGACTGTACCCAGTGCTTGTATAAATAAATAAATAAATAAATTGACTGTGATCATGATTGCACATCTTTGGGAATATACTAAAATCTATTGAATTGTACATTTCAAATGAGTGAATTTTATGGTATGTGAATTAAATTTCAATAAAACTGAATACCTCATACATGCAAACTTTTTTTTCCTAACCAAGAATCTTTGACTTTACCTTTGTCCCAACTACTTTTCTTTTTTTTTTTTGAGGCATGTTTATTTATTTATTTGTTTGTTTGTTTTATACATGCACTGGGTACAGTCAGAAGCGCGGGAGGGTGAGAGAATTCACCAGAGCCAGAGCAGGGAACAGAGCAGGCAGAAGGACCGAAGTACACTGCTGAGGGGAGCAGCGGGCGGCAGGAGAGGTCTGCGCGCCATGTGGGACCCTCCTCCAGTGGCCGGGGAGCAGCTGGGGATCGAACCAGCGCTGCAGAGGCTGCGGGCAGCTTCGCAATCCAGCGTTCAACTGCTGTGCCACCGGGGAGGCCCCCAACTACTTTTCAAATGTCTTTGTTATTATTTTAATCTTGGCATAAATGTGACCACATCAGTGAGAACTTTCTGGCCACCTTATCATTAGAGGATTCACTCTATTTGTTACTTCAAAGCATCAATAACAATTCATAATTTATTTAAGTGCCTTTGTTTTCTTTTTTGTTGTGTGTCATCTTCGAAATAATGTAAACCCACATGGGTAAAAGGTCTTATATGATAAATACTTTATGAATGAGTGGTTGAGTGGGTGAATAAATGATTTAAGATAAATATATGATGATGCTATTTATTGAAATAAGAAACTCTCAGGAGGATTGGGTTTGTGGGGCATATGATGACAATTTGGACATGCCGTGTTTGAAATTCTTTGATATTTAAGTGGAGATAAACAGCTGGAATTTCAACAGTTGGAAGCCTCATGTGAAAAATGTATGCTTGAATTAAGAGTCATCCACACATTACTGAAAAACACCAACACCTACCGTATGAAAAGAATCTATAAATGAGAGAGGGAGATGTTGCCATCAGTGGGGAGAAGAAGGGACAGAATGAGGCCAATAGTGCTAAGAATTGAAAGAGACAAGAGCATTGTAGGTGATGGTGGTAAAAGCAATTTCAGTGAAACGTTAGAGAAAGATGTCAGACTGCAATTTGATGAGGTAAGGAAGTGAAAACATTGAGAATTGACCAGTAGGAAATTATTTAGAAAAACTACTGAAAGAACTGCTAGCAACTCCACAAACTTATTTTTCTGTTACTCTTAGGAGAAGACGTACTCAACATATACTTCATTCTAAACTGTTTTCAAGATATTTATTTAGTGAACACCTCTGGAATATAGTGTCTCCCTCTGGAGTGACAGGAAGATATGTTTACTATTCATTACAAAAGACTCGAGCTCATAAGCTCAAGGTTCCTCTCTTATAATGTAATGTGAGGGTATCACCAGGTTCTCTTCATATTTTCCTGTAGAAGTTAGGACTCAGGGAACTCAAGCAAATGCTCATGCTCTGGCTATCACTTTTGTGAATATCATGTCATTTGTCTCTGACTCAAGGGTCTGCTAGACTCTCAAACTGTGGTAGGTAACTTGTTAAATTTCAAGTAAGGGAAAATGTCACAGCTCCAAAAGCAACATGGCTCTGGTCATTGAGTGAAGTGGTCCTTGAAATGAAAACAGATGGTGCCAGTAATAATGACCTTCTAACCTGATATAGAGCTTTGCAAGGACTGGAAATTCATTTGGTTGAATAACCAAAAGACTTCACATTCCTAGTTTTCCCCATGTTCCTAGTCCACCCTCCCCTTGTACTTCAACCTCCACTGTTTCAAGGAAAATGATCATTAGAAGAGTTGCCAAGGAACACTGATTTCAGAGTGGGTTGGAGCTCACAGCCACCTATGTAAGTATGCTGGTGGACTTTGAGGAGGGGAGATACACAAATTTTTATGGGTTTCTTGTATTCAGATTCCCAGGTCACATTCCTACCCAGTCCCAAGCTAAGGATGCTTAGGAAAGTTTAAAGTGAGAAAAGAGAACTAATATGATCTGGTGAGTGAGACCCTGTAAGTCATTTCAATGAATTGGGTCATTCAATTCAACGGCTTCTACATCTGATTGCATAATAGGAAAGAATGTATTGTAAGCATGTATTTTCCAATTCTATGAAGTGTCAGGGAGGATTCTTCTGATCATGGGTCAGTAAATAGAGAAGCATTAGTATTTGGGGTCCCTCACCCTTTTCAGTCTTCACCACAGATAATTTTGCCAACAGGGATCCTCTGGCAAAGGGCGGCAGATTCTATCCAAAGGCATCTCTTGGGGATTTGGACTTTGCCTCTCTGCAAATATACTAAGTATATCCCTTTTGAAAAGTGAATATTAGGGCCTCCCCGGTGGCGCAGCGGTTGAGCGCTGGGTTGCGAAGCTGCCCGCGGCCTCTGCGGCGCCGGTTCGATCCCCGGCTGCTCCCCGCCCACCGGAGGAGGGTCCCACATGGCGCGCAGACCTCTCCTGCCGCCCGCTGCTCCCCTCAGCAGTGTACTTCAGTCCTTCTGCCTGCTCTGCTCCCCACTCTGGCTCTGGTGGATTCTCTCACCCTCCCGCGCTTCTGACTGTACCCAGTGCATGTACAAACAAAAAAAAAAACAAACAAGCAAATAAATAAATAAATGAAACATGCCTCTATAAAAAAAAAAAAAAAAGAAAAGAAAAGTGAATATTAGCTTGCAAGTGAGTTCCTGTCAAAACTAAACACCTGATTGAGGGAGATCTCTTAACCCTCAGGCCCAATATTCCCATTTTGGGGTGAGCCAATAAGGATTCAAGCACTAATAAGTTGGGAAAGGCTCAACATGCCTTGCCTGTCAAATGGGAATGGTATATTTAAGACTGCAGTAGGCTTGGCCCCTTTGGCATCTTCACTTTACATTTAAAAAGTGGGAAATTTTAACCTCCATTCCACCATGTGAAGCAAATTTATTGGCTAGGGGGACTTCATTTCATAGGCAATTCTCAGGCTACCTGGAGCTGGGTCACTGATGGTTCAGTCAAGTTGAAACCTGATGTTGTACACTGGGCTATTGCAGTTGGTAGCCCTCAGTGGACACTGTTGTTCCATTCAGTGGATAGAACTCAAGACTGTCCCATAGCTCTAGCCAGTACTAGAACTTTACATATCTTTATTGAACTTTGCATATCTTTACTGATTTTCTTGGGTTACTTTCAGTCACTTTGATTGAAAATTATAGACCAGCAGATTAAAAACTCCTCTTTACAGCCATAATATATAGAAACAAATTCTCTGGGTCAACTCATATAGAAGCTTATGGCAAGGGTCCATTCTCTGATGAGATTGATAGGCATGAAATTGTTGATTGATCCTATACAACCCAGATTGCAACCACTACTGCTTGCATCCATTATTGTATCAGACATGTAAACACAACCACCAATATAAACTGGGCATAAAGTAGGGGACTCTGTTTTTGATACAGGAGTGAAGTTGCAGCTACTGAAATGGAACACAGATTTTTGTGGTGGTGGGGGTGAGAGCAACAAACCTGATATACTAGGTAGAGAACCTCTCACAACCATGAATTCAGGGGTGAGAGGGACATTAATAGCCTTAGACTTTTAGAACCATCCTGGAAGTTTTCTTCATGCAGGAAATTATCCTGGTGTGACTCTCTCAAACCCTACAAGCACCTAAATTGAACGGACTACTGTGTCTGCCTTGCTCTGCCAGTAAGCCCTAATCATGATTTGATTCCCTAGTCCCTTAGCCTAATCAAGAAATCTATTTCAAAGAAGAGGCAACAGGCCCAGGCCTTGCACCTTCCATGAAAAACACTTGCCAACACCTATAATTTCTCCCCACCTCATTCCTATAGCCATCAAGTCAAATCTACAACAGTGTGGGGCAGAGATTGACAGAACTTCATGTGGCTGGTAGACTTTAGGATTCACAATTTAGTTTGAACAGTGTAAGTTTTAATTTGTGTGACAATAGAAGGAATATATGAGTATAATTAAATGCTGTTGGAAAGTAGCTTCATTGCTTGTAGTATCAAAAATATGCAACACACAGATGTCTATCAAGGTAGGACAGAAAAGTTGTGGAATAAACGGAATACTAACTAGATGGCAGTAAAAATGAGAAACTATTGCTAGATGTCTCAAAATTGATGAATCTCAAAACCATAATAATGAGTAAAAGAAGTAATTTACAGAGGAACACGTGCTATATGAGTTATTTTAATAAAGCTTAAAAACATGAAAGAGTAAGCAATGTATTATTTAGGAATATGCATAGATGAAAAACTAAGGAAATTATTAAGCTCAAATTCAAGACAATGTTTATGCAAGGTAGGGACACAATTCAGGAGGAATAAAGAAAAGGCTTTTGAGGCATGGAAATACTCTAATTTTGGGGTTGGATGGTGAATACATGAGTCCTCATTTCTCTACTTTTCTTTATGTTGTGTGTATGTGTGTATATATATGTGTGTGTATGTGTGTGTACCTGTGTATGTATATCTACAGATATGTATGTATATGTATCTATGTATACATACGCATGTCTCTTTTTTAGCATATGTGATGCATTTTGCAATTTGTCTTAAAAGCCTTAAAGAAAAGCCTTAAAAATATGAAAGAGTAAACAATGTATTATTTAGGAATCTAGTTTTGTCAGACTCTCTGCTTGTAGTTGGATATATAACTAGAACAAAAAGGACAATCTCCTGCCCTTCTAGGTCTTATTATTTATTTACTGCTAATTTCCTACTTTCAGGATTATGTGTATTTATTAAATCAGGGAATAAATTTCCAGGTACTGATGGGGCTAGAGGTGGAGAGTGAGAGTAGATAAATATAGGAGGCATGTATTTGACTTACCTTTGTAATCACCTTGAAGTCTAGTATATTGCTTGGGTATGGCAGGAATATCTACTCAGGTGAAGAATAAAGATGGTACCCATCAAGATTATTTAGGGTCTCTCAGTTCTCTCTCTAGCCTTCACACACACACACACACACCACACACACACACACACACACTTTGTGCCTTCAGACATTCTTTCATGAAGATGGGTGATTACGTTATTCCCAAACATCTCATTTTGGGATCCTAATCTTGAAGGCCATCCATGTGACCCAAGACACCATATATTACCTCTGTTAGGTTTCCTTCTGCTGCAGTAATGAGGGGTGTATTTCCAGTCTTTGGGTGTTGAAAATCAAGGTTTCCGAGGATGGAGTGGACTTTGGTAATTTGATCACAGATCAGTTCCACATCACCTCTTGAAACAATTTCCAGGAAATCATGAATCAGTTTATTTTTATTCATCTTGCTAGTGCCATATAACTGCCTTCAAGAGAAAAGAAAAAATTTTATTAAACGAAAAGCAATGGTCAGTTCAAATATAACCTATTCTGGTTTTACCATCATCTATTTCCTTCTTCTATATTAAAATATATATATATTGTTACAGTTTTAAAGACAATTTTGAGAAAGAGCAGAACTCGACAATCCCACCAGCCTTGATTCTTTACACACGTTCTAAATTTGGAATAACAATAATGTTCTTGCTGCTTTGTAAGCTCTGCTGTAGTACAGGAAAAGAAAGGATGGATCAGCTTCCCATGCAGAGAACCCAGGCTATGGGACCTGACAGAACCTGTGTTCAAATCTCTCCAACACAAATTATCAACTGTGTGCCCTTGGGCATATGACTCAATGTCTGAGCTTCATTCCTCATTTCTAAAATGGAAAAGCTAAATCCGCTCTTCAAAAGTTGGTGAGGATCTGAGTATTACCATATTTTACTGGTAAAAATTCTGGTGGGATTTTATTTTGTTTAGTGTTGTTTAATAAAAACTCCTATAATTATTTTCTTAATGGAAAAAAAATTTTAACTGATAGTTCTGCAAACTCTCAATAGCAGGGACAATCCATGCCTTATATTTTTATAACCTCCACTGAAGAGCATGGTAGCCACCATCCTAGATTTTCCAAAAAGTCCTAAATTGTATATCCCATCTCAGCTTTCCAGATCACTGAAATATCTCTTAAATTACAGTTTTGGAATCATCGTACCACCTTCCCCATGGAGACTCATGCTGTTGGAAACAGCACAAAACCCTTTGTCAGACTCTATTCCAACTTCTGCATCTGACACCATGGTAGCTATATGTAAGCACTTGATATTTTATATAACAGGCAGTTTACCTGCAGTGAAGCATTTGCTTGAAAGCAAAAGAACAAAAGGTGCACTTCATAGCACAACTTTGTGGTGAAAAGCAAAGAAAAATAAACAAGAAAAAGTCTACAATTGATCATCAATTCTCTAAGCAAACAAACAAATGCTTTCAGAATGGGTCAGATGACAGAGAGCCTTCTTTCTCAAAGAGAACATATACTATACCCCAGAAATAGTAGCATTTAAGAAATTCATCCCCTCAAGAGTATAGAGTAAGTCCTTTAGGAGCTTTCATTGACTTGTCACAATAGAACATAATACAAAATAGTTAAGATGAAATACAAGGAGAAAATACATGATCAAATGTCAAAGCAAACAACAGATAATAAATCTTAAATATCTCAGAGAAATTTGAGTAGTGCCTTGTAGGAACATACATACTTTAGGAAGATTATTATATTCAAGAATAGAAAAGCAGAAACAAAAAAAAAATGAAAGTAAAGCTTAACAGGATTTGGTACTAGTTTGCCCATAGAAAATGAAAGATCTGTCCAAGATGACAGCTCTGCAAAACTGAGGAAGATCTGGTGCTGAAAGAAATGGGCAGGTGCTTTCACAGAATAACAGATGAGGTCAACCACACAGCCAGCATGTGCATGTGAGCAATGCATGTTGTCCCTATGGCCTTAGTTTAATGTAATTTCCTAAACTGAGCATAAGGATTATGCTGTCCCTTGTTATTTGATTCCCAGGTTCCTTTTGACTTAGTAGAACTCAAATAAAGCTAGACAACCTCCATCCTTTTTTGTTGTTCAAATAGTCTTTTTTTTTTAAACAGACATTATTTTTCAGAGTCGTCTTCGGTCAGAGTCGTCTTCGGTATACAACAAAACTGAGCAGAAAGTACAGAGTTCCTATATATTCCTTGTTCCCCCACCTCCCACCAACATAGGCCCCTCCACTATCAAGATGCAGCATCAGAATGGTACATTTGTTACAACTGATGAACCTACATTGACACATAAGGATCACACAAAGTCCAGAATGTACATTAAGGTTCATTCTTGGTGTTGCACATCCTAAGGTTTCAGACAAACGTATAGTGCATGTATGCACCATTATAGTATCCTACAGAGTAGTTTCATTGCCCTGAAAATCCTCTATGATTACTCTATTCAATTCACCCTCTTCACCAAACCCTGGCCACCACTGACCTTTTGACTGACTCCAGCTTACATCTTTTTTATGCTCTAGCATTCAGGTGATTCCTATATAGACAACTTCTGGAAAAATTGACGTAATGATTAGAATCCAGTGCACAAATACAATCCACTTTATTTTCTAACTGACATTTATCTTTACTGCTATGGGCCTCCCTGGTGGCCTAGGGGTTAAGTCTCAGTGCTATCACCGCTACAGCCTAAGTTTGATGCCCAGCCAGGGAGCTAACCCAGATAGGGCGCAGCAGATCTCTCCTTTCTCGCCTGCTGCTCTCCTCAGCAGTGAATTTCAGTCAGTCTGCCTGTTCACTCCCCACACTGTCTCTGGCAAGTCTTCTCACCACCGCCCCCCCACACCTCTGGCCTACATCCCAGTTCTTCTATGCAATAATAATAATAATAGTATATGCATTAAAATTTTTTATCATTACTGCTTATCATTCCTATAAATTTAAATTAGTCCCCCCCAAAATTTCTAATATAAAATAGATTGAAATAGGGGATGAATTCCTCAACTCTTTCCCTGTCTTTGCTCAAAGCGATGTTACATAATAGTAACAATAATATAAAAACAATAATATAAAAACAACATTTATTAAATGATTTCTATATAGCACACAATATTGTAAGTGAAGTACATATATATTATCTATTTTATACCAATAGCTAAACACCCTAACCAGAACCAGCGTACTGTTAATCCAATTTTACAGATAAGGAAAACAAGAGACAGAGATTGGCAAAATGGTATCTCACATGGTAAAAGATGTAGGTGCTAATGTCCAAAAATACTTTATACAAAAAGTAAAGGAGAGGGCCTCCCTGGTGGTGCAGCGGTTGAGCGCTGGGTTGCGAAGCTGCCCGCAGCCTCTGCAGCACCAGTTCGATCCCCGGCTGCTCCCCGGCCACCAGAGGAGGCCTCTCCTGCCGCCCGCTGCTCCCCTCAGCAGTGTACTTCGGTCCTTCTGCCTGCTCTGCTCCCCGCTCTGGCTCTGGTGAATTCTCTCACCCTCCCGCACTTCTGACTGTACCCAGTGCTTGTATAAATAAATAAATAAATCTTAAAAAAAAAAAAAAAAAGAATTGTTTCAGGAGTGAAACACTTTAAAAAAAAAAAAGTAAAGGAGAATTTTTAAAATGGGCCTATTTCATTTTCTAATTTGTTGGTTTAATCATACTCCTCAGTAGTAGAATGGGGCCTTGTACAGGTTTCCTCATTTTATTTTTATTTTTCCGTTTTGATACCCTCTCCCACTCCTCTCTGCCTCATAAAAACCCAGTCTAAAAATAACCAACCAAACAAACAAAAACACCCCAGTCTAATATGTCTGAGAAATACCCAGAGATACATGTATATCTTTATAGGGCACACAGTGCTGTTAAATATATGTATGTTTTCACTATACCCAAATGATATTGTCCCGCAGCGCGTGTAAATATTTTTCATTTAATTTTTTTTTTTTTTTTTTTTTTTAGCATTAGCCTTATGTACGTGAATCTTTGGCTATTTGCTTCTGATGGTGGCAAAGTATACATCCACCAAATTTCATTATCCCTTCCCTTGGTGATGCACATCTAAATTGCCTGCAACTTCACACTCCACAAACACCACCATGATAAGCATTCTTGTACAGGCCTTGTTATGGGTCATGCAAGAGTTTCTGTGGTGAATGAGTCCAGGATATTTAATTTCACTAAATACTGCCAGATTGTTTTTCAAAATGGCTGTACTAATTTGTATTCCCTCAGTAGCGCCCCACTGTCCTTAAGCTCTTCTAAGAGAAGTGGACATTTGGTTGACTGCTGTTACTTAATCATCATTATCCTAATCACTAGCATTGAATAAGAAGTGCAGTAGGAAAGTGCCCAAGGAATTAAAGAGCAAATGATATATCTACTTGAAATCAGGTCACAGAAAAAATTAAAACCAGTAGACATATCTGCCCCAGCAAACTGCTTTGCAGCTTGAATTGATATACTTATTTTTGAAAACTGAAAGAGTACTGGCAGTATTATTTCAGCTAAAAGAAACACTTTCAGATACAAAAGCCAGTTAAAGTTGTCCTTCAATAAGCTGAAAGATATTTAAAATGACAGCTGGTCAAGAAATATGTCACCAGCTTATTCATACCGTGGAAATAAAACTTCCAAAATATTTTTCCAATGTTACTTCTCCTAGCAACAAAGTGACCTGTGTATTTTATGCAGTTGTGGTTTAATTCCTTAATGGAAGCTAAATAAATAAAAAATTAAAAATTAAATAAAATTAAATTAAATAAAAAATTAAAATTTAAACTTAAACCTAACTGCAATCTGAAACTTATTGAGCCAAATCACTACAGCATTAGGAGATGTGGTCACTATTTGGTCATCCATTGTCTTACATTCTCAATAGTGACTGGAGGAAACCAACAAAGACTGAACACACTGCAGCATCCCCATACACAGGTGGCTCTTTCAATGAACATGCACAGATCCACAACGCTTTTCTGAGTGAGCTCAATTTCCTCATCTGTTAGTCAATCTGCACATTTCATTTTCAGTTTCTTCATTAGAAAATTTTTCTCAATTTTCTCTTTGTTTGTTTCTTTTGATCAATGTTTTTTAAACAACAGTGTTTCATTGCACAGGGATTTCAGGTTAAGCACCTACTGCAGCCCACTCTCCTTTATTTTTAGTTGCATGCATGGTTTATCTACTTGTGAAACAAAATCTTTTAATTATACTGTACACTAGATTTGAAATGTTATGTAATTAAGATTTAAAGCAACAGGAATCCCCTTTCATGTTGATAAATATGGCCAAGAATAATGTGTGTAATACTGAGGAGTTATAAGGCTGATACCATATAAAATTAAAACATATTTAGTGATTAAACTAAATTAAAATATTGTCCCTGGGTATAATTCAGTGGAAGCAAGTATTTTTATATACTTTCCTTATCATTAC